CGTCCCCAGTATTCCACGGTCACATGTTCATGGGCAATTGACTTCGTCTGCCGCGCCACAGGCATCGGAGTGCCATCGAAATCCGCCCGCAGAGGGATCCCGGCAAGTTCAAACAATGTGGGCGCAATGTCTATGTGCGTGGTAACACGGTCGACACTAACACCGCGGGGGAGGCCAGGCCCACGGATGTAGAACGGAACGCGGATGTCCTCTTCATATCCAGTAGTCTTCCCGGGTGGCAGCCGATGCTGGCCAATATGGTAGCCGTTGTCCGCACTGTAGATGATGTATGTGTTCTGGAACTCGCCACTGGCTGCTAACCGAGTCAGAAGACGATCTACCAGCTCGTCAACTCCCTGCAGGGCGCGCAGACGTTGGCGGTAGAGGTGATCTTCATAGTCGATCACGCTTTGGTTTTTCAGCTCGAGGTTGCGAACCCAACTAGCACCGGACACCTTTCAAATCGTTAGCTTACTTCTCACAAAGTCGCATTGAAGCGTACCTGTGCAGGGTTGAAGTGAGGTGTTCTCGGCACTTTCGCATCGGGGAAGAGATGCGCATGGCGCGGTGCTGGGAGCGGCTCCGTCATCACCGGAATCTCCTGGAGTGCCTCTACATCCACATTGGTGTGCGGTGCAATGGGGGCGACTGTGAGAAAGAAGGGCGAATCACTCTGCAATGCATCTTCCAAGAATCCCAGGGCTTTTTCGGTGATCACATCGGTCGTATAGTGGCCCTCATAGCTGCGCGGTGGCTCCTGATTGCGTTGATAAGTGGAGTTCCAGTATGAGTAGGTATAGGGATCGAGCAGGAAGTCGGAGCCATTGAAGCCGTTCACGAAGGGCGCATTGTAGGTGTCGACACTATGTGCGTTGAAGAGCTTGCCAGTGTAGAAGGTATTGTAACCAACAGATTGCAACCAGATGGGTAGGAAATTATCGTTAAAGCCTTGCGACACGAACTTCGGATAACCCCCTGGAGAGTTCAGATCTTTGCCACCTTGGGGTTTCAGTGTCCAAGCATACCATAAGGTGGATGTACATCCGTGACGTTTGTGTTATGTGCTTGTCGACCCGTCCAGAGACTGACTCGCGACGGACAGCATAGGGCGGTGGTGACAAAGTGATTGCGAAACTCAACGCCTTGGTCCTTGATCCAAGCGAGGGTATGTGGCATATAGGCCGGAGAGTTCAGCTGGAGATCCTGGTCATCGGTCAGGATGAAAAGGAAGTTGGGTGGTTTGCTCGTTGTCGGGTGCTCTTCCTGCAGTGGCTGCTGTTGTTGGCCTGGGATGGCCTCGGAGCCAGCGAAGAGGGCGACGAGCACCAGGGCGGAGTATCTCATGATTGCGGCCTCGATTGCTGGCGTTGATGGTAGGTAGCGGTTGATGTCAGTTATACCATATCAAAGCACTGATTGAGTCGGGATGGCGAGAAGATAGCGTGGAATGACACCATAGCGGGAGCTTGACTTTGCCGACCGAGCATTAACCTTTGGTTCGGCTAGAGGCACCCTGACGACACGCGGTGATGCTCTTTTTAGCGGCAGATTGCACCATGGATAGCCAATAAATCATGGTTCCTTGCAGTGCTTGGCCCAGACAGAGCCCAGACCCGGGCGACAAGCTCCACTCATTTTCCGGGGAAAGCATTCTCGATTGAGTGGATGAGGAGTTGGAACTTGGAAGGATCCAACGCGCCCTTGATTGTGGAGCTCGGCTAGAGCGAGGTGATGGCGTGCTCCGCTTTAAGATGAGCTCATGGCAGCTGTTCATTGCTTGAGTGAATAGAAGCCAACTGACTGCTGTATGACATGCATACTTGTGGAATGGAGTATCAACTGAGATTGACATTGAGAATGATCGGTAAGAGAGCTGTTTATCCAAAGACTTATGCAAGGCTCAACATAGCATTATTTTGATCTTGGACCGCTTGTTTGACCGCTCGACTGTCCGGCAGAATATCTTGCACTTTCGCGGCACGGGCCAATGAGGTCAGAAGGAAGTACTCCATAGCTCTTGCTGAACGACATGACCACAGGTATCCGACTTTTCAGCTTTCTCTGGCAAGCTCATGAGATACCACTTAGCTTAGGGAGATCTCTCAGTTAGTAAGAATCTGTAAGTTAGAGATGAAAGATAGTCGAAGCACTCAAGTTGGCACCCGGTGTACCATTGGGTCTCGGAGAATTGACGAAAGATATATTGTCAATCGAAATTCTCCTTCTCGTAAGATTCTATTGCATTGAATCGTGTAAGTCGCATACCATGCTATCAAAGTTCCGAGTCTCGGGAAGTCATATACAGTCCCAGGGTATTTGCTGTTCTATAAGTGTAAAATTAAAGTGCTATGTGCCATTGCTCCCTTATCCGTAAAGAGAGATTGATAGCGCTGGATCATTCTGCCGCCGGTGGGGTGGGGGGGAGGAGGCGGTAAGTTCTTGAACACACCCGAGCTCCGAGTTCCGCCCACTGTTGAACAAGATTCTGGTTGCCGGAGGCGGTCATCAAATAAACAGTTTCCCGTCCGAGTTTCTCCCGGCTGTCGAGCAGAATTCTGCCAGCCCAAGCGGTCGGGAAAAGAACAGTCTCGATCCCCGAGTTTCGTCCGCTGTTCGACGCCTTTCTGCCAGATTTGGGCGGTCAGCGGATGAACAATATTCTGACCGAGTTTTCGCCGGCTGTTCAAAAGTTCTGCCGTTTCATGGCGGTAGGAAGATAACCAGTTTCCACCCTCCGAGTTGTGGCCGTGGTTGTGGTCGGTCGGAGCGTAGCTGCTGCTTATCGATAAGGAGACAGACTATCATGGATGGACCCGACCACCTCTATCCAGGTCATAAGTTATCTCACACAACCAGGATAGTCCTTCTTCATGAGTCTATAACCATTTTTCCATCTCGTTTATCAGCATCACTGCAGACTCTCTTGATTTCCCATTCTAGAAAAAAGGGTAGTACAGTATGGTACATAGTTGCCACGTTAATTGCTAACTTGCGTCTCAGCCAGGTACAGTACAGTATATCAAGCCGCTAGTCATCGCTCTTCTCATATCCACTGCGAATTGTGGACTAGTGTCATGGTGATCGATGGCTTTTCCAGACGCTAAGGACAGACATTCTTTAAGGCTTCCCGGCGGATAGCTCCACCAATGCACCATCCCAGATCTTGCCTTCCCGCCAAAATCCTTCAACGAGTGGTAGCCTTCCCGGCCGACCCGCGCGAGGCAGCTCATTTACCCATCCCCATCGTACCCTCTCCTTCCATCCTTGCTCCTTCCAACCGTTCAAGTCTAGCTCAGGCGACTGGTTCAGGGTAGGGAGATACTGCAAGAGCTCCGGATCATGCGCAATGCAAATCAACACATTTGGTGAAGCGTCAATGCGGCGTAACTGGTCCACAGATTGCTGTGCAACCGCAGGGTCATCAAACACGCTGGCGTCCAAGGCAGATACATCGTGAAAGGGGGTTTTATCTTGATTGGCTTTTGTGATTGGGTGAAGATCAGCGAAGAGACTACATGGACAAGGGACAGGAAAGAAGGGGTCGCTGTCTAGGGTCTCGGCAGAGAAGTGGGCGGGAAATGGGACGTCTGCGGTGGGCCTTATCACTCCGGCAAAGTGGCAGATATCGCCTCCGAGGAGGATAAAAGTGTCTTCGGTTGTGCGGGCGAGGCCGCAAATATGACCGACACAGTGACCGGGGGTATCTAATGGAGATGAGACTTCAGTTCCGGATGAAGTGATCAATTGACGCACCGAGAAGATAGAAAGACCCATCCCCGAAGAAGTCGTGGGCGCGGTAGCCGGCGACCTTCAGTGGAAAGTCGGGCTCCACTACCTCACGGCCCTGAAATGCATCTGCTGGGACCGGAGAGTTGAACTTCTCAGGGTAGCCCGGGAGTAGACTTGGATCTTTCAAGAATCCAGGGCCCACAATCAATGCTGTTGATGCCGGAAATTTGGACACGTCCCCAACGTGATCCCAATGGTAATGCGACCAAATGATGGATGCTGTTACCGAATTAGGTCTCATTTTTGACGCATTGGAGTAAAGTCTCAAACTTACTGATTTCTTTCAAGGTAATTCCACTTTCATCCAGAATCTCGCCGACGTCCTTCTCTACCTTGAGCGCGGGTATGATCCTGCTAATTCCGTTTTTCGCGACCGTAGGAAGGTTCCAGTAGTCTTTTCGTGTGCCAAGATCAAACATGACCTTCTTGTTGAGTGCTTCGTTCTCGATAAGAAATGCGACGTCTGTCATATTGAGATATTCATGACCTGGCTGTACGGGCTGGATGAGAGTTTCTGTGCGAATGCTCATCATAGTGGTTGTATCCACCATCCTCACTCGCACTGTGTGGCTGGATTGTGGGATATCTAGCATTTCATTCATTGTTGCGTGTCTCTATTGTAGAGTAGAAGGAGGTAAATTGTGGTCTCGAGGAGCATGCTCGATTAAGAGGAAGGGGAAGTTTATCATATACCGAATTCAAGCCACAGCTGGCTAGTAGATACGGCGACATCCAGCCCTCCAAGCACCTCATTCGTTATCGCTAGCTGCAGTGGCTGGTGATACCCACCGCGGCGTACTGTTATCGTTATCGCAACGGCCCGATTCAGTCCGGGCCTTCCCCTCATTTCCCCTCAAAAGTCACCAGTCTCTCGTCAGCATCAAAGCCCTGCACATGCATACTTTCTATTGTCCAAGTGCCTTCATCGGAAATGATAAGCTCCTACTCGCTGTGCCGCTCGACACAACCGGGGTCAATTGACAGCATGCAGGTGCTGAGTCACTATTCTTGCTACGTGCTCAGATAAGCCCGCAACATTATCAGCCTGAAGCATGTCAACAATGTCCACGGATCCCGGACGCAGACTTATAAACTCCTCACTCACGTCGGTGGCATTCCTGTTGACCTGACACTTCCAAGCCACACATACAACCAAATGTTAGCCAACCTGTATGAATTCTATACATCATTATAGTCAACCGAATACCAAGATGGGATCTACCGACCCACCCAACCCCGTCTTCCAGAAGTACGGCGTACCAGACTCGGTTCCCCGCCTAGGGAGCAACAGTACGGGGCCGCACCCCTCATCCTCTACCCGCCCCGTTCACCACCCAGAGTGGGACATCCCCTCCGACCGTGGCTATGTCGTTTCCAACCACTTGATCAACGAACCGCCACCAGACCACAAAACCTTCAAAGTCATCGTCCTAGGCGCCGGGGCGGCGGGGATAGACTTCTTGCACCATGCACCCGCCGCCCTTGAAGCCCTGGGCGTTGAGGTTGTCTGCTACGACAAGAATGCCGATGTTGGGGGCACATGGTACGAGAATCGATATCCCGGGTGTGCGTGTGACATTCCCAGTGTGGCGTATACGTTTCCTTGGAAGAGTAATCCAGGGTGGACGAGTTACTATTCCGGTGCCAAGGAGATATGGGAGTATATGAAACAGATCGTGGAGGAAGAGGGGATGATGCAGTACATTCGCTTGAAAACTGCGGTGACCTCGGCTGTGTGGGATGAAAGTCGAAGCAAGTGGACGATACAATTGCGGCGGACTGACAATGATGGGCATGCGGAGGAGTGGGAGGAAGAGTGTGATATGTTCATCAATGGATGTGGCTTTCTCAAGTATGCTCCTGGCTATGTAGACCCTGTGAAGGATAACTGACGTTTTTAGTGCGTGGAAGTGGCCGGATATACCTGGGTTACACTCATTCCAAGGCAAGCTTTTCCATACAGCTGCGTACCCCGAGGGATTGAGCCTGAAGGATCAGAAGGTGGCTGTCATTGGGTCGGGTAGCTCGGGTGTGCAGGTCGTGGCTAGCATCCAAGATGAGGTATCTGAGCTATACACGTGGGTGCGAAGCCCTGTCTGGATCACGGCGGCGTTTGGGCAGAGCTTCGCTGGGAAGGACGGCCGGAATTTTGACTGTAAGCTGCCTGTCCCGTTTGAGACTCTCAGCCCTAACAGGTAGTAGATTCTTCTGAGCAAAAGGAGGTCTTCAGGCTCGACCCGGATAAGTATCACCGGTACAAGAAGGCTATAGAGAATGAGTTGAACCAGCGCATCAAGCTCGCTTTGCGCGATACGGCAGAGTCCGACACAGCTAATGCAGTAAGTACTCTTCTCGAAATGCTGGTCTGAAGTCTCACCCTCTATAGTACGCATACAGCGAAATGTATACTAAGCTTCAATCCAAACCCCACGTCCGCGATGCCATTATTCCCACTGATTTTAATGTTGCCTGTCGGCGACCCACACCGGGCAATGGCTTTCTTGAAGCTATAGCCTCTGAGAAGACAATCGTCTTCACCTCACCAATCAAAGAGATCACCCCTCGCGGCTTCATCGACACCGCCACGGGAATCGAGCATGAGGTTGATGTGATCATCTGCGCGACCGGCTTCAACACCTCCTACCAGCCTCGCTTTCCGCTTATCGGTCTAGACGGGGTCAGTCTAGCGGATAAATGGTCCGACACGCCAACAAGCTACCTTGCAATCGCTGTCGACGGATTCCCGAACTATTTCACCTATTCCGGGCCTTTTGCTCCGGTTGGCCACGGCTCCATCCTCCCGATCCTCTCGCATATAACACACTATTTCATTCAGACTATTCAGCGCATGCGCAAGCAACATATCCGTCGCCTGAGTCCCAAGCCCGCCGCGGTGGAGGACTTCGTCGAGCATGCTCAGGCTTTCCTCCCTCGGACCTGCTGGGCGGATCCGTGCTCGAGCTGGTTCAAGCAGGGGAGGAAAGATGGGCCGGTGATAGTGTGGCCCGGTTCGCGCCTGGGATATTTTGAACTGTTGCGGACGCCGACATTGAGCGACTACGATGTCGCGTATTGGAGCGGCAATCGGTTTGGGTATCTTGGGTCCGGGTTTGTGGACGTGGAGTTTCCCTCTGGCGAGCACGATTTGACTTGGTATCTGGACTGGTATTCGGGGAATGAAAACTGGCAGAAGAAGGGCATGGAGGTTGAGAAGGAGGAGGTGGATACGTTCAAACAATTGAGCGAGGGAGCCCTAGCCATTGAAGGATGATGTGCCTAGATGTGTGTCTGCACTGCTGCAAGTAGCTGGCTATGCTCTAGAAGTTCGCACCCCAACAGAAACATACAACCATTTTACAGCCCACTGTTCCTCTATCACGACTTTGTACCGCTAGAGAGCTAAAAGAGGAAACCAAGGAGTGAAACCCAGAAAGGGAGATAAATCATTAAAAGCCAACCAACCTCACAATATGCAGTCTGCAAAGCAGCCGCAATTAAGCCCAACCGCTTTGTCACATATCCAAAGAGTCAGACTCCTGTCCCCGCGCATGAGCTTCCGCACGATTAACCACTGCATTCAATGCTTGCTCCGCCGAAGCCAACCGACGCCGCAGCCGATCCACCTCATCCATCGCAACAAACGCCAGATCGCGCCCCAGACACGGCACTTGCTCCAGCAACTGCGGCGTCAAAACCCTGCCTCGGAACCCAGGGCCCGTGCGGTAGATTGTCTGACTGTGGAGGATCTCCGGCACGGCGCGCTGGTGCAGACGCACGTAGTTCCAGGCGCGGTGGTCGTAGATCTCTGCCATCGCCGCCGCGAACCCGCCCTCGTCCTGACGCAGCCACCACAGCGCGGTCGAGAAGCGGCCCGCTGCGAGGACTTGGAGACCCTCAATCTGGAAGTATTCAGCTTGAGCGTACACTTTTGCATGGAAGCACGCCGCGTAGCGGATCGCCAGCCTGTCGCGGTCAACGGGGTTGGCGATGTTCGTGTTTGGGGCGCGTGTCACGGCGGTGTTGTCGCGGAGCAGGTCGCTGTCGATTGCGCTTAGGATGGTGGCACTGCTGACGGTGTAGTCGCCCTTATACAGGAACTCGAGGACTCTGATTAGCAGGTAGGGCGGGGTGTGTGGGAGGTAGATGCGTCTCGTCCTGTTTATCTGTTCTCCTCGCGGCTTTTGTTAGATTGAATAAGCCTGGAGGCAGTGGGTGTACCGTACCTCAGGATAGAGTGTTGATTGATCAATGGCCCGAGCGAGGTGCCTTGACTGGGGATAGATGATCGGACGATGCGCGGGGAAGTACTGCCCCTCGCAGCTGAGGGTGATATCGCTGAACAGGGGGTTCGGGAAGTATCTGGTTGGTGGTGATGTTTATGTAAGTATGGTCTGTTGGCATGGATTCGTCCCCTGGGGCTCAGGTCGCTTACGCTGCTCGCTCTGACACATCTGGAAGAAGAGGGGTTTCGTTCATGGTGGCTTGTTTGTGGTTGGGTTGTAGTGTGGGAATTGCGGTCGCGTTGAGTTGTCGCCGACTGATGGCTAACTCGGCGAGATGAGGGTGAGTTGTGCAGAATATAGAAGGAATCACATCGTGTGTTACGGTATTCATTTGCTTCTACTGTGATTACGGGGTCTCTATATTTAAAGAAGTGCTATCAGGATAAAGTGAATACTCTCCGAGTAATGATGGCCGTATCAAGTTCAATATATGCTCTGCACGCTCACCAGATTACTCGAAAGAAGCATTTGCGGTCTTCAGTGCTGTGTTAGACTCTGTATGTAAGAGGAAATACTCCTGCATGTTTCTGGGGAGGTCAGAGACAAGTTTAGTATACAGAGATGTAGGTGTGCGTAAGATCATGGTAGAGAAATTGGGTTCTCTAGAACTGCTTGACCAAGTACCTAGTGTAGTACGTATAGTATATAGTATATCAGTATATCCTGGAAGGCTCGCCTAGAGAATGACGCCTGGATACCTAAGGCATCAATTGAAAGAGTGATGGGGAGATTCTCAGCGCAGATAAGCCCCGATTTTGCAAATGCGTGGTCAGCTGCAGAATTGCATAACTACCTAGTACCTCGACAAGTGCCAGCACTGCCTGTCATGTTATCAAGATGATGCATAATTGTTGTTCATTTATGCCCATAGCATAATATGAGTAGTGATGAGCGGAATGGATTACCCCCGCTATCGCACAGCCCGAGGCTCCGAGACCGGCTGCCGAGCACCGAGAAAGGAGCGCTTGCTGCCTCACGATTTACCCCTTAAAGATTATGTGACAACCTGCAGTATCCATTAATTCTTCCAGGAAAGAAAGATACGAAGAAGCGCAGTGCTCAAAGGACTGGGTTTAAAGTCTCTGTGCTCTTCTTTCGTTTGTCGCTATGCTTGCCGACCACGTAGCGCAGCTCCCGCGGCTCGCCCTATAAGACCATGCTGAGGCAGGCTCTGGTGAGATCGACAATTAGCGTCCCTTGAACTGCCGTTATCCTTACATGAATGAGCCACTATCGCAGCCATGCTTTTCCTGTATAAGTCACTGAGTGTCTCATGCCTCACTTGATCAAGACTTCTGTGCTGTATCTAAACTTTTCTTAGTCCTAGTTGTAAATGCTGAGAAAATGGCTGACTCAGCCGGATCCGAGCTTCCGGGCGTCCCGTGGCTGGTCGTCGGAGGAATGGCCGCGTCTCACCAAGCACTCTCACTCTTTCGGCGAAAGGATCATACACATAGTCATCCGTCTAGTATCTTGTGCCAAGAGATGTCATATTACCTGTCAGCATTTTGCGAGAAACAATGTCAGCACCTATCGATCGCCAAGAGATTGACCGCGTTCTGCAGTTGAAGCGCACTCAGCGCGAGGCTCGAGCATGCTACCCGTGTCGCCAACGCAAGGTTAAATGTGACAACTCCCAGCCATGCCGAACCTGTCGCCGACGCGGCCATCCCGAGATTTGTGTATATGATCCGAGCCCACCAAAACATGGCGGTGCTCGGAGGGCAAGTCGACGAACTTCAGCTACTGCCTCTCGCGACCCCAACCCACTCCCCGCATCACAGGATGCATCGAATCTGGGGTACCCGTTGCAGCCACTGGCACAGCCACCGGCTCCCAGCCAGACAGTTCTGCCCCCCTTCTCACACCTGCAACAGATTGACTCATCTCGGAACTTTCCGCCTGATGGCCCTGAAAGTGAATTTGTGTACTCTGGTGATAATTCGGTGGTCTCCATCCTGCGTAATCGTACACATGACGCAAACGGCTCGATGGCTCGTGAAGTGGGCTCTGTCCTCGGCCTCCAAAATACCTACCATAGTTATCCGTTCATGGAGTTCAGAACCCCCAGTGATCGATGGAATGAACTGCTTCGTATCCTCCCCCAGCGCGCCGAGGTCCTGAAGTAAGCATTCATGGCTCTCGGGTTGTCACTCTCTCTGACCGAGTACAGGTTCTTTCACTTCTATCGCATATCGGCGTATCCATTCAACCCTATCCTTGTAGATATTGAGCGGTTCGAGTTGGATCTCTGTTCATATCTGAATTCGCTGGCCAGTGGAGAACTACAAGATCCCTCTCGCATTTCTGACCGCTGGGCTAGCGAGAAGTCGGTTGCCCATATCAGCTTGCTCCTTGCTACTCTAGCCGCTGGAGCACACTACTCAGACCTAGAGCATATACAGCGCTCGGAACTGTGTCTCGATTTTGGTATGTACATCTCTAATTGTGTGTTAAGATGTATGCTAACTTCTCGAAGCAAGGCGCTCCTTCCAAGCTCTACGCTTAGCGAATTTTCTCTTCCGACCCACGTTCGACATTATCCAGTCTCTGCTCATCCTCGGAAATACACTGCAAAATACTGGTCAGTCAGATTCAGCTTGGGCGTTACTTGGTAGCACAGTGCGTCTGGCTCAGACCATTGGACTTCACACCGAAAAGAGCGTCGCCCATCTGCCAGACCACGTCAAGTCCAAAGCGAGAAGATTATGGTGAGGCACACCGGAATATTCATAGATTGAAAGCTGACCTACTACAGGTTCACAGTTGTGTGGCAGGACAGCCTCTTATGCCTTTGCTACGATCGGCCTCCAATAGTCACTGTCACCGGCTGGTCCCTCGACGACTCTGCTTTCTCGGGACGGGAATTGAACTACATGGACATGATGCATTTTCTTTGTCGGATCGCCTTGGACATACTTACAGCTAGTGAGATGGAGATGCAACAGCCTTCTCGGTTACTGGACATATTAGCCACGGTGGACAGCGTTTGCCAACGAGCGCAACCTCACCTAAAGAGCCTGCAAGATTGCAGAACTCTGCAACACAACCTGGAGCACTTGGCGTTGAAGATGCACATTGCTTTCGCAGTTTCAGTAGTCACTCGACCGGCACTAAAGCGATCTGGAGTCCGGGATTCGGCCCAGGACATGCTGCGGATGCGCGCCAAGTGCAGTCTGATCGACGCGTCCAACACTTTCCTCGAGTTTCAGGCTCTCAGCGTGGTGCCCCTGCGGACGTGGTCCATGGTGCACACAGTAATCAGCTCGACTCTACTGCTCTGCATTTGGGAGGAGACGCGCAACGATGCTGAGTGTCGTGACTTGCAGCAGAAGGTGATTGAGGTCTTTTCTGCCGCCGGTTCTGTGGGCTCGGTGGAGAGATCGGGCTCGGAGAACGGGCAATGGCTGTCGGAGAGACACATTCGGGCGCTGATTACCTTGCGAAACGCGGTGCGAACGGAACTGGAGCGGGAGAAGGAAGAGGGCGACGTCGGGCCACCGAATAATCCGGAGCAGGCCGAGACCTTTATGCCTGCATTCGGGTATGCGATCCACTGAGCCATATCCACGTGTGGGGCTAACGAAATGCTAACAATGGTGCAGGATCCCCAACGGCTTTCCAGATGTCTTGGGGCAGGACTTTTCGCCCATGTCCTATCTCGATTCGATTATGAATGGTAAGTCCACTGATCGTTGTGCATTCACATTGCTAACGGCAGAAGTCCCTATGTTCGACCTCTCCCAAGAGATTGATTTCTCTTGAGCCGGCTCCTCCGACTAGGGATGTATGACGTAGCTGGAACGTTTCATTTTTCGGCGCCTCTCGGCAGCCTCGGAGACCTCGGAGACCTCGGAGGCTCGGGGCACAATGTCTTCTGTGGTACCATAGCCCGAGTCAAGGGAAAGACATGTGTGAGAAGAAGCAACAAACTCGTCTACCAGATACCTGACAGGTCGCCACAAGGGATATATATAATCATATGGGAATGCCTCATCGGTAATAGTCATTCCTCAGGTACTCACAGTTACTCATCACACCATACATTTTCAGATACAAACTACCTGAATTCGCCCATATGTTCAGCTCAATTCTTCCCGGTACTGCTACACCTAACTCCGGTCGCTCCGCCTCTCCTCCTCACGATATGACCTCCGAACAAAGTCGTCCAGCGCACCCCGCGCCCACACCCCGTCGACGTCGTATTGTGGTTGCAATGACGGGCGCTACCGGAGCGTTACTTGGCATCAAAGTTTTGATTGCTCTACGTCGATTGAATGTGGAAACTCACTTGGTCCTGAGTAAATGGGCGGAAGCTACGATCAAATACGAAACCGATTACCATCCATCAAATGTCAGGGCTTTGGCCGACCACGTACACAACATCAATGACATGGCGGCACCGATATCGAGCGGGTCGTTCCGGGCGGACGGGATGATCGTGGTACCTTGCAGCATGAAGACTTTGGCGGCCATTCACTCAGGATTCTGTGATGATCTGATCTCTCGCACGGCAGATGTGATGCTCAAGGAGCGACGGCGACTGGTTTTGGTGGCGCGCGAGACGCCGCTAAGCGAGATTCATCTGCGAAACATGCTCGAGGTTACACGCGCCGGAGCGGTTATCTTCCCGCCCGTACCAGCATTTTACATCAAAGCGGCGGGTGTTGATGAGTTAATTGACCAGAGTGTTGGACGAATGCTGGATCTGTTCGACTTGGACACGGGAGATTTTGAGCGATGGAACGGATGGGAAAAGTGATAGGAGTTGTCTTCGGTCGCACTTTTGTTATTTTTGGGCGCATATACCTCTTTTTGAGTGCAAATGGGTTTGATTTAAGGGGCGTGATCTGATTTTACGGATAGACTTCGGTTGAATGATAGACCTATTTTTGGGGCCGGATGGCCTTGGAGAATCGACGAACCGCGGATGATTTTCGCTACCACGAACCTGGATTTTCATATGTTCCTGCTCTTCTCGGATGGTCCACTCGGAGACCCAAACAATCAACCTTGAATTCTTCACAACTTCCCCACTGAAATGTTGGGTCTGGGTCAGGAACAGCACTCAATCGGATAAACGGCAATGCAAACCCGACATCCAAAGCAGACAATGCTGAGCTGAGTCAACGAATGGATTGTCGACCAACAGATTTGACAAGACTCAAGGAAAGCGCATCGACAAATCCTTCGGAGGAGCTCCTTGCCCCGCATGGATATGATCACCGGCCCAGTGCGTGCAATAGCGGGGAAGGGGTGCATGGTCCCTCTCTTTCATCATGGCATTCGGCAGTTCAGCCCTAAAAGCAGCGACCCCTTCTGTTTTTCAAGGCATCTAGATTGTCTCAAACCTCGGTTCATGTGTGATTTCAAACAACCGCTTCTTCAGGATGCTCCGCTTCTCGACATCTCCTCTTCTTGCCGGCTTGGGTCGCGCCAGGCGCAGTCTCCTGACCGGCCGATCGTATCATGCCAATGCGACTCTTTCTCAAATACGATGGCGGAGAGGGGAAGACAAGGGTCTCAACCGAGGAGACACATGGGCAAACAAAGGACTGCGGCATCCTGGCTTTCAAGTGGACATGTCGGAAGGTGAGGACGAGGGGCTGCATACCAAAAATGGGTTCATGAGACAAAACGGAGGTCTATATAACTATCCAGCTAGATGGCCTACTGAGTAATATCGTGGAACGTTGAGGTTTGACTCTCAGGCAATCATGAAGGCCCCCTATCTTCTCTGCCTTGCTCTTTCGTGGGTGGCTCACGCGGTGCCCGCTCCGCGCGCCGCAGCGCCAACTGTGACCATTGCCAGTCCGGCTGCGACTGTCATCGGAAAAGCTGGCAATGTGGAAGTCTTCAATAATATTCCTTTCGCGCAGGCGCCCACCGGCTCACTGCGCTTGAAGCCCCCACAGCCGATCCAAACGTCGCTTGGAACAATTCAAGCGACTGGGAGCTCCAAGTCATGCCCGCAGTTCTATTTCTCCACCAGCGATTTTCCAGCCTCAGTTCTGGGTATCCTCGCTGACAACCCTTTGGTACAAGTTGCCACCAATGCCGGCGAGGACTGCCTTAACATCGACATTCGTCGCCCGGCGGGAACTACCTCCGACTCGAAATTGCCCGTGCTCGTTTGGATCTTCGGAGGTGGATTCGAGCTTGGGTCGAAGTCCATGTATGATGGGACGTCGTTGGTTTCGTCTTCGGTCGATTTGAACCTGCCTGTCATCTTCGTTGCGATGAACTACCGCGTGGGTGGCTTCGGCTTTTTGCCTGGCAAGGAGATCAAAGAGGATGGGTCTTCTAACCTTGGTTTGCTGGACCAACGACTGGCTTTGGAGTGGGTGGCCGATAACATTGCGGCCTTTGGAGGAGACCCAGACAAGGTGACCATCTGGGGCGAATCAGCGGGTGCGATCTCGGTCTTCGATCAGATGGTGCTCTATGACGGCGACAACACCTATAAGGGTAAACCGCTTTTCCGAGGCGGTATCATGGACTCAGGTAGTGTCGTACCGGCTGATCCTGTTGACGGGGTCAAGGGACAAGCGATCTACGACACCGTCGTCTCCACCGCCAAGTGCGGTTCCTCCAACGACACCCTCGCCTGTCTCCGAGACTTGTCATACGACGAGTTCCTCAATGCTGTGAACTCTGTGCCCGGCTTATTGAGCTACAGCTCCATCGCCCTGTCATATCTCCCACGCCCGGACGGAAAGGTGCTCACCGCATCTCCAGACGTTCTTGGGAAGGCTGGCAAATTCGCGCAGGTGCCTTTCATCGTGGGCGACCAAGAGGACGAGGGAACGCTCTTCGCCCTCTTCCAGGGCAACATCACCACAACCGACGAGCTAGTCAAGTATCTAGCCGACTATTTCTTCTACGACGCCAGCCAGGAGGAGCTCCAGGAACTCGTCAGCCTCTACCCAGACACCACGACCTACGGATCCCCGTTCCGCACCGGCACCGGCAACAACCTCTACCCGCAGTTCAAACGCCTCGCCGCCATCCTCGGCGACCTGACCTTTACCATCACGCGTCGGGCCTTCCTGGCCTACGCCGCCGAGATAGCACCCAACCTGCCTACCTGGTCCTACCTGTCGAGCTACGACTATGGCACCCCGATCCTCGGTACTTTCCACGGCAGTGATCTAATACAGGTGTTCTACGGGATCTGGCCCAACTACGCGGCCAAGTCCAGCCACACCTACTATTTCAGTTTCGTGCATGACCTCGACCCTAATGCCCACCGTGGCGTTTACCCGGAATGGCCCCAGTGGAAGGAGAATCGGCAGCTGCTGAACTTCGAGGCCAATGCGGTGGGTCTGATGGGGGATACGTTCCGCAACGGCACGTATGATTTCATTTTGGATCATGTGGATGCTTTTCATATCTAGCCATGTTAGTTGAGATGGAATATATATAATCTTGGATATATAGTTAGTAACAAAGTATAATGAGAAACCTTTTGGCCGAGTGGTTTCAACTTAAAGAAGTACAACACGGGGTCACGAACAACTTAAAACCCCGGAGGAGAGTGGATGCCACAATAGATGGCAGATGGGGCGCAGGAGAAAGAAACGTCTGCCTGGCACCTTAACTGAAAGACCATACCACCCACTTTTGAGGGTCGAGTTGCCGTTTCTCTGGTCGGACTGCACTCATGCCAACGAGCCAGAATGAACTGAGGAAAGAGAGTATCAATCTATTAGCAAACTGGGCCGTCGCAGAAGAAGGAAAGCAGTCCAGGAGTGAATAGAAGAAGAATAAATTTGCATCCTCAGGCACCACATCCATTCATTTCACGCAGGTTAGGATAAAGATCAAACGGGCGTCACGCTTAACAAACACAAGTAAGCCAACAAACAACTTTTCCCAAATCTTGTAACACATCAATCAGAATATTTGTACTCTCGTCTTCTTCTCATCTTACAATACCACAAACAACCAGAAATTTCCCTCCTGAAATACACTATTTAGTCCAGATTCTCCCGTCCACCGCGTCTTTCAGCATAATAACCGACGCTGCCCTTCGCACCAGAACTGGCCATGTCATCCGCCAACCCAAACCTTGGCGCATCTCTGCATGAAATGACCAAATCCGGGGAATACTGCGATCTCCGCCTCATATGCGATGACGGCTCGGTCCAAGCACACAAAGCGGTTGTGTGTTCGCAGGTGCCGGTCATTGCAGCCGAGTGTGCTGAGAACAACGTGGTAAGTCAATCCAAACCCGGGCTTCTGTTTATCAAGTATGCATATCGTATCGATATCACCTGACAGGGATCATACGCGACAGATTGGGTCTTATGCCTGTGATGGCTTCGATATCCTACCGTGGCAAGGGGGAAGGAACTTACAGTGTGCTGCACGTCCTGTAAGGGTCATGTGGCGTCGTCGTCTTCACGCGCTGCTTGAAAGAGCGCATTTGGACCATGTCCTTGAACTTGAAATTCCATCTCTCATATGGGTACACTTTACTAGAGAACTTGTTCTTTCTCGTCTTGGATATCTCATCGCTAGAGACAAAGCCAGGATACCTCGCTCACAACTAAATACAAATGTGCTCTGCTTGTCTCCCATGTTCTTCTTCACTGTCTTCACAACCTTGAGGGTCAAATTGCCCATTTCCTTGATCCTACTGTAATTCATGCCAACGAGCCGAAACTGGTCTCTCATTATGCAGGTAAATTCGGGCATCAGTTGTCCTGATATCGAAAAAGATTTCGCGCGGAAATATCAAACCTGGCTCTTCTCGATGCACGAGTTAACCATGCCTTCTACCCGATCCGCAATACCCCAGCTCAACTTGTACCCGCTTGGACCAGCTCCATAGCAATGAACCACCGGAACAGACTTCTGTTCGTTCTTCATACCATCCGCAGCTGTATCCTGGAAGACAAGATGATGTTTCTCCAGTCGCAGTCCGCCATGTCGCATCGGCCGTCGAGCAATATACACCTCACGAACATCGAATCCCAGCGTTGGGCTGGTGCGATCCTCTTGACCCTCCAGTAATTCCGGGCAAAGTGCTGCAGCTCTTGAAAGAATAGAAGTTGTCGCGGTATCGGAGATGGAATGCGACCTAAACCATCAGCACCGGGCATAAAGAAGCAAGCGATGCACGTACCAATTATTCGGCTCCTTCGTCCCACCGATAATCGTGCCCCCGCCACAAGGCCTAGGAATAATGACGGTCGTCGATCCATCAGACCAATGATGGCTCACAGTCTTGTCACAGCGATTGGCAACCGCGATGAACTGCCCTCGCGAGGGGTACGACTGCGGATCACTGAAGCCACGCCCACTGGCGTTGACGACCGCAAGGATACCCGTATCCTCGCGATCCTGTTCCCGATACACGAAGACCGCCTCTTCAAGCGCTGCCAGGTCCCGACGAATGAACTTGACACCGAGTTTCTCAGCCTGCCGTTCCAACCATCGTAGATACACCGGCGAGTTCAGCACCCAGGCGGTATATGTCACTCCAAGCCTGACCGAGCCATGACCCCCGGGAAATTCTCGGGGCTCGAGAATGCGGAAGCCGGGCCACGAGGCGTAGCCGTTTTCCTGGGTGAGCTTGGGGTCGAAGTAGGCCGGGTCCGCCACGTCGAAGTATTCCACGCCCGGGAAGAATTGGACGCTAGCCTCGGGATGGATTTGCGACAACCGTTGAAGCTCTTGGTAGGTTGCTCGCATCAGCATCTCCTCGAGACGGTCCTCGGGCTTGATGCTGGGGACAGGTCGGAAATGTGCGCCGGCCCATGGGGAGGCATAGTCGATGTGAAAGTCGCCGGGGAGTTCTCGGGAGACGATGGCGACGCAGTGGCCGCGCTGAGCGAGGCGGATGGCGCAGCTGAGTCCGATGACTCCTGCGCTTCGTGGGTCTCAGTGCGTCTGGCTTTATTCGGGGTGGATACTGCATGTTAAGCTTACCCGACAATGATTATGGAACCTTTATTCATGGTGCTGTTGGTGAGAAACGCTACCCAATAAATGGGATGATCTGGAGAGATACAATCTGCTCCAGGTTGGTGTGTTGGTGTGTTGTCGGTGTCTCGATTGGGTGGCCCCGTGACCTGCATGACTCACCGTAGCATCCTTCGAACAGCCAACGAGGTGACTGGTAACCATGAAGCCATAATTATGGTATTCTCTGAAGATTACGGCTCTGAAATATGCTCTCTTCCTAGAATATCACTTGTCTCTATTTCAGTCTTGTCTAGTCGATCCCGTCCTAGGCATAGTGTCGCTTTTTGACAGCTGCATCATACAACCAGAAATATCATATCATTTTGGCTAGGACAGATGTGTAGAAAGCCACTCCGAACCAGCGAGACACGTTGAAATTCTTCGCAGCTCTTGAAACAAAGAGCGCGTCTTACAGACTTCTGATACTGCAGGAATTGCACCGTACCGTACACTGAATCCCGTCAACGTGCTCGTGGGCCGTTCCACATCGATCACAGGACCATGAGATCCGGAGTGAATGGTGACTGTAGTAGCTGTAGCTGCTCACTCTGACTTGGTATTACGCCTTTTGGAGTTCCAGAGCGAGGCCCTGTACCTTCTCACGTGCTACCTTGAGATCGTCTTCCAGCGATTTCAGCACCCGGTAACATAGCTCATCCGAAAAGAGCTCGCTCGGCCGATCGGGATGTATGAAATCATCCAGATGATTCAAGACTGTAGTGACCATCAGATTGTGTAGAGTCTCATCGTTCACTTGGAATGCTACATCGATGACATCTACAAACCTGGCTGGAGACCATGGTGTCGTGAGAACCTCATTCACTTTCACGTGGACTAGGTCCCGCAGCGGTTGTATATCAAAATAATCTGCGATATCAGTGCTTCGGATAAGCTACGGTCATTTGCCAGGTTCAATTCCCCTGTTCGAATTAGCCCATGCCCCATCAAGTTTGTGAATCGCCGATGAAGTGACACAGAAAGAATCAAGGGACCCGTACCTCCATTATCACGCTCCTCGGTCTTTTTACTATAGTTCCCGGTATAGAGGTATTCTACCAGAAGACCCACAGTGGATGGTTCAACTGATACGAATGAATAAGCCCGAGTCGACGTCTCCTTTGGATTGAGAGTTAGGTTAGCGTAGCTTGTCTGTGATGGAGACTGACCGCACTCACCTTGAAACCCCCCTCACAGGAAGCCTTGATGGCTGGGACCTGCGGATAGACGATGACTCGATGGACGGGGAACTTGGTGCCCCGGCACTCTAGAACCAAGTCGGTGTATTGTTCCTGTTGAGCCGGCTCATACTGCATCAGTTGTGGGTTCGTAGTAGCCATGCTTATTGATCGATTTAGAATCTCCTGAGTTTCTACAAGCAGAGTGAAAGTACAGCGGGTCATTCGTAGCCAGGCGCCTTGAGAGAACTTTAGCATAAGACATTGACTGATTAGGTCCGAATTCCGTGATGAGCTCATGATGCGCCACTCCTTGTGCTCGGAAAATCTGGGGGAGATATGGGTAAATCCGTGGAGAATAACTTACATCCATTCGTTGCCTTGCCCTCCGTGCTTTACCTTGTTCTTATCCTTATCACAACCCCGCATGATAGCAGCCGATGCATGCTGAATCCATCTCTTACGGTTTCCCTTTGCGGATAGCTCGCTATCTTGCTGATATTTCTTATCAGTACGGCATGTACTATTCATCAGTACTTATAAGTATTGATAACTTCTCAAAAGAATGGCCCAACGCCAAATAAGCAATATCCAAAATGTTATCAATCTGGGTGGTAGCGGCCCTTGTATTATGTTCCTTCTTTGTCAAACGACTTCATTCTCCCATTGCCAAAATACCCGGCCCATGGCTCACCAAATTCACCAGCCTACCGATCAAGTACAATGAGTTCACCACCAATCGTCGCATGTATATCCACCAACTCCATAAAAAATACGGACCTGTCGTTCGCCTAGCCCCGAACGAGGTATCATTTGCATCTCTTGACGCCATCCGCGAGATCTACGCCTCGGGCGGGAGCGGCTACGATAAGACCGAATTCTACGACATGTTCCGCCAGTTTGGGGTCAAGTATGCTGCTTCGTTGGTGTGTGTAGTTTATTCTGCTAAAATTTGCTAGAACTATGTTTTCAACGCTCGATAAATACTCGGTGTGTAATCACATATTCCACGAGAAACAAGGCTAACAGTGAGCAGCATAGTCAGCGCAAGCGGGAACTGGCTGATAGGTATGCTATGTCGAATATCCTGCGCGAGAGCCACGTATCGGCCATTCGCGACCGAGCCCAGGCTTTTCTTTCGAGGTGTACCGCCGTGGCAAAGAGTGTAGACGTTTATGTACGCATTCCCCGTTGTGACAAGGTTTACGCTGACAGTTTCAGATCTTTCTCCATTGCTACGCCCTTGATTGTGTGACGCACTTCATGGTCAGCCCAGGAGGGCTGAATTCTCTCACCAACGAGAAAGACTTCCAGATCATGGAGGAGTTGACCTACCATCACAGCCTGCAGAGTATGTTTCTCAGCCAAAATGCGACAAAGTTCTGTACTCACCTGCGCAGAGAACCTTCTTCACTACTACCTCCCCGCACTCACCCCATACTTCCCCAGCTGGGTCAAGCCGCGTCGCGCGCCCAAGACCAATGCGTACGTCCAGGGTATCACAGCGCAAGAACACCCAGACAGCCAAAGTCTTCTCGGCCGTCTCACTCGAAAGGACTCTCCACTGAGTCACGATCAAGTCGCGGCTGAATGCAAGGACCACATGGCTGCCGGGATTGACACGACCGGGGATGGATTGTGCTTTCTTATGTGGGAGTTGTCCCAACCCCAAAACCGCAAATTCCAGGACAGACTCTACGAGGAACTGCATACTACGACACCGGATACCCCGCTCGACAAGCTGATTTACCTTGAGGCGGTCATCAAGGAAGGACTGCGCTGCGCGCCGCCCATCCCGATGTCATTCCCTCGGTATGTTCCGAGCGGCGGACGGACGATCGATGGGACTTTTGTCTCCGAAGGGACGATCGTCAGTTGTCAGCCGTATACAGTCCATCGATTCGACGAGAATGTTTTTCCTGAACCGGCTCGATTCAATCCGGATCGATGGATGGACGAGAACGGAGCGACAGAGCGGAACCGGTTGTTCTTTGCTTTCGGGACTGGAGGGCGGGGCTGCACCGGGAGAAAGTAGGTCCTGCGCTTGTTTTGTTTCCCCCTTAAATCCTCTTGGCAGCTTTGTTTGTTTTCCTGTCAGTTGGTTCTTTGCTTTTCGCTTCATCTCGAGGACCAGAATATGCTAACATTCTGCAGTCTTGCTACGGTGGAGATGAAGATCCTCCTGCGCGAGGTCTACTCGAGGTATCGCACTACGGTCGCAACTGATATGACCGGATGCATGGATATTGATGATCAGATAATCTCATCGCGACCGAAGGGGCAGACATGCAGGTTGAGCTTTGCGGCTAGAGAATAGATCAAGTTAGGACATGGTCTGTTATTATGTCGGGTTGCTATATACAATGCCAGCATGGAGGGCTAAAGCATCATCCTGCATTCTCCATCTCGATAAGCAACCTTGATCACGCGTTTCTTCTCCACCTTTTAATACTATTCAGGAGTTGTACGCACTCCGACTTAGATCCCAACCCATGAGCCCCCAACCAAGCTCTAAGCATCCAAGAACGTCGTCGAATTCCAATCGGAAGCCATCTAGCATCCACATCAGCACCGACCACTGCCATCCAACCCAGCCTCCCTCCACCCCAGGAAGAGAATGTTACTCACATTCCAAGCATCAATCCTCAAGATCGACGTCGAATTGACATCCGCCGCATGCGTAAGCACCCCGATCGCTGCATAGCCCATTAGCAACACCGCACCACGCAGCACACACGAAGACTCCCAACCCCCACCCAAATTATCCCCCCTCCTCCTCCTCCTCCTCCCCAAAGAGAAATTGATACATACCCACAACATTATTCAACCAATAATACCGCCGACTGCCCGTCTCAAACACCAAGCGCAGATGCAACTGCCCGCTCGGCGCCTTGGGCCCGGACGTCTGGATGAAGATGTCCGCCCCGTCGTCGGTGCGGAGGTTGTACCGCGTGTCGGCGGAGAAGATGCCCGTGGCGGGGTCGACGAGGCCCCAGTCGGCGCCGACATCGAGGATTTTGCCTGCCGGGCTGGTCAACACATGACGGAGGCGAGTGTAAAGGGTGAGCCGGGGGGTGGACCCGTACCTGATAGTCGTGGGCCGGTGAAATTGCCGCCCACGATGGGGATGGCCTTGCGGGTGCCGTGGGGTCCCGGGGAGAGCATGAGGGTTGCGGTGCATTCGACGTAGGCGGTGTAGAGGAAGGAGAGGGCCGGGGCTGGGGGTGGGGGTGAGGGTGGAGGGGGGGTTGTGGCGGTGACGAGGGATATGGATAGGGCGGTGGGGAGCCAGGTCGCGAGGGCTGGGAAGTGCATTTTCGTAGTTCTGTGGGGCTTAGACAAGCGGTGGCAGAGGTGATTGAGTTCAAGGAGTTGAATTGATGCATTTTGGTTGTTGCAGAAGAGGTTGATATTTATGAGCCTCAATACTACAGATGATGCCTCGGGCTGTAGGATGCGCGGTATTGCTGTATTATATTACTGTAGTTTACGGTGCATGCGAGGTACAGGAAGTCCCGTCTACCCAAGCCGAACGGAAAGTTGGATGGAATCGTTGTATCCACTGTGGTATGTACCTAGACGATCGGGACTCGATACGGGGTTTCCCCGCATTCTAACCGAGTGAGCCGTGCTTTACCCCGCATTTTGTTGCTTGAACTGGAGATTTGGTAAGCAATGCAACTATGCAGGATAAATACACTTGTGCAATAATAGTCGACAGACCATCTCACAGTGTACCCAACCCTAGAACACTCCCCTGCTGATCATGCAGCAGTGCTCTCGGTATTGAAACCATCTCCCAAACCACCCCGACACCAGTGAATATACCGAATATCTAAAGCGTCGACCGAAAAACCCCACCATCATTCGAACACGCATCCTGATCCGACACGAAGATCCCCTTACATGCCCCGAGAACATTCAGAGTCATGGAGCAGTCCACCACAATGTTGCCCGCGGGATTGGGGTCGGAGCAGGGGCAATTGTGGATGGCCCGCAAGTAGCCGCAGTACGCCTGCACGCCTGGCGGAGTCACCGACGCAGGTGTCTGTCGTCAGGATCTTGCCGAAGAGAATGTACCGCGTTGTCACGGAGATGGTGGTGTGTTCGGGAGGGGAGGGGGGTGCGGCGCGTGTGGTTGCTATGAGGGCGAGGATTGGGAGGAGGGTTTCTTATGTCAGTTGTTAGTGAGATGGTAGTTGGTGGGGAGGAGGAAGTGGATTTAATTGTAAGAGTATTGAGTGGGATGGGGGGTTTTGAAGAGAGGGGTGACTGGGTAGAAACGATTGTTGATTTACCGATCTTCACCGTTGATGTTCCTCGAAATCGAATCGCTTTTATGATGTAGTGGTATGGGTGTAGTGACTGACGCTTGACTCTGTGAATGCAGTGAGGAAGGGAGATAGTTCACTGAAACTTATCATCACTCCCGATGATAGGGTTCGGTTCTGAATGTAATATTATATCTGAGACCCGAGGCCTCGCAGCTGCACGAGATGACGATGGGCCGGATCGAAACATCGCCATCCCTGTCCATTACTGGATATCTAAAGGACCCTATGATCGGGGCCTTAATCACGCTGCTTTCAAGTCCTCGAAGCACAAACAACCACATCCATCTAGACAAGGATGGCTGGACGATGTCTAAGTGCAGGTGGTGGAAGCATTAACCAGACACACTGACTTCGCGGAGCTCATTGCTCCTACTCTTACCCAGTCATCAGATAGGATCATTCGCCTGACACTGGAGTTTCACCGAATCAAAGCAGTAGGGGGAAGTCATGCGATGCTTCTCCAGAAACATACCACGAAGATCATTGTTCTTTTCAGGCGTGACTCAGGATCGCCTTCTGAAATAGCGGTCATAGAGCGGCATACTGTGCCAGAGGACATCTGCAGATAAACACCTCACTGCCATTTGCTCCGATGACGGACTCGTTATGCTCATGAACTATTTTGCCAGGAGAAGTTGCTTTGTTGATTACACAGGTATATATATTGCATATCTGTGACTCTATTCAAAACATTTGCAGCATGAGCCGTCTTATCATGTGACTATTCCAGAAGAATGCACTGCCACTCGCAGGAACAGCCGCAGCAAAGTATCTTTCCGCGAGCAGCGACGACCTACCTGGTGGTCTTTATGGTCTAAGATGACGAGACTTCACTGATGGCTTGAAGCGACATGGACCTTCGCCAGCGACAAGGCAGACTATGCACTGAACTGGGGACGCTCAAGCTGTCAAGCTTCTCAATGCTGTACTGTAAAGTCTCCCCTGAGTTGAATGAGAGGGCATATCGGGAATCTTAGATTGCGTACCCTGTGCGATAGTAAAGTACCAATTCATGGGTAATCCGAGAATTCGAGTTGCCTTTCCCCAAAATGTCATTTAACCTTCTTGGGCGCCCATATTCAGATCGTCGTTTTCATATCGTGGCCCTCTTCCATACTAAAGAATTAACTATCGGGTAGGGGATCATATTTAGCCTTAAGAAAAGACCAAAGAAATACAAGTTCAATGACAAGCACAGAGCCACCAGAGAATACGAATAGAATGAACCTGCTCCCCCCCCCCGGCTCAAGCACCTTACTCAGCCACCTCGTAACCTTTAACCCGAAGTTATGAACCGTTCCACTGTCAAAGGCAGCACCACCACGAACCACGGGGCGATCGGAGTATACGGGCCGGAACCATATCTAGCCCTTGATCCGAATCCCGCATTTGGATGTCTTGCCACGGCGTCGGGTGCGGATGTCGTATCCGCAGCATCTTTAAGTCTAATCCGAGACTTTCTCTCCGCAGTCGAATACGCTGTAGACAGTTTGGATATCACGATTGGGATTCCACTATTGCAAATGCAAAACATTTATAGAAACACCCCGAATGTACCAGATCGCCAGAAAGGAGCGTGCAAATTGGAGGTATTCTCTCTCCTCCTCCTCCAATTCAGAAATCTTCAACAAATCGCGAAGGTGACGGACTAAGCACTCAAATGACAAACGGATACAGCGGCACAGAGAAAACAGAGAAAGAAGCAGAAGCAAACGGCAAAAGAGAAAGAATCCACGCAAAAGAACCCCACAGCCGAACCCGCCAGTCCTGCATGAATCCAACCATTCCGTAGCCAATCTTAACACTTGGGCAGTTTCACAGATGCTATTCCACACTTCCATCAATCCAAGTTCGGCAGAAACAGAAGAAAAGAGGCAACGTACCGAAGCCAGCGCACGGCTGCACAGCGGGATCAGTCCGGCGAACCCAGGAGCTTCCGCTTCCGAAGGGTCCAATTCTTATCCAGGTTCTAGGGGTGTAAATCAGCATGAATGCTCCCAGAAGAAATGGTTCAGGTAAGTAGAACATACTCGTCCGTCAGAATCTGACACGTGAAGGTGACCCTGGTGTTCTTGGCGAAGGTAGGCCCGTTGACCGCGCAGGGCGCGGGGAGCTTCTTGCTGACGATTTTTCCGAAGATCGAGCAGGAGACTGAGCCTGTAGTGGCCTGACGGGCCTCGATCTCGGGCTCGGGGTCCGCAACGGGGTCGGGTTCTGCTTCGGGGGCGGCGAGGATAGTGGCGGGGAGAAGGGCTGTGAGGAGGATTGGGGTGAGTTTCATGATGTGCTGGATGCTTTATGGTGGGTATAACGATTTGTATTGCTGTGGGCGATGGAAATTACCCTGAAGCTAGGGCAAGGAATGTGGGGAGCTTTGTAGTCGGTGGTGCATCATACTACCTTCTGAGACTGCAATAATTCAGTCTGCATGTAAGGCTGTGCTGAGTGGAGCACGCTCGTACTGCCTCACTTGACCTTCGTCGCCGAGAATCGATCCACTGGTTACGTCCATCCTGTCAAGACTAATTGTAGATCATCCGCGGAGGCCTCCTCGTTCAGAATCGGGGGACCCGGGGTTCGACGGTCTTGGCGGGACCCAGCGGTCTGGCCCTATACGAAGTTGGGGACAAAGGTGCGGCAAAGCTCCGCATTAGATCATCTTCGCGCACTATAACACTGATTAAGAATATTCCTAGGTCGAAATTAGAATGCGCAGCAAGGTGGATGAGGCAGTGTACGCTGCCAACCTTGGAGTTCGTCATGGCGAGCGCCTAGACTACAGGCCCGGAGCTCGGAATCCCCCTTGGTATTCTGCGTCCGTTCTTGGCTCCTCGTATATTCCCTGTCCTCTACCATAGTATCATAGACTATTCGTGAATGAACAGCATCTCAACAGTGGTAGGTAAAATAGTTGTGCTCTCAGTCTACGATTCATGGCTCAAATGATCTTCTATTGCTTCAAAGTGAGAATAAGAATAATCGATTCAATTGTAAGCGGGAGTATAAGTTAAGCTATCGATAGAGCCGAATATTTCGCCACTAGTTTCTATAATTTGAGACTCCGGGCAACAAGCTCAGACAGCAAGCTCAGACAGCAACCTTAGCAAGGTCAACCGCAATGCAGTCGGTAGGAAGCGCGGCACCGGAGCGGGTGGCGTAGATCATGTAGGTGGGAGGACCCTCGGCGTGGAACGAGACGTGGGGACAGGCGAAGAACTGGCCCTGGACCCACTTCAGCGCATTGTCGCTGCCCGTGGTGAATCCCTGGGTCAACCCTCCTGCAGCGATACCGCCGGTACTCTTGAGGCCGACATGTCCGTCGGTGCCCACGTAGACTAAGGCTCATGGTTAGTGCCTGATGGGGCAAGAAGTTACGAATTTGCAAGACTTACCGACATCACCATTCTGGATACCCAGAGTACCATCTCCACCGGTGAAGTTGATTCCATGTTCACCGTGAGGGGCCAGGATGAAGGCGTCGCCCTGGCTGATGAGGGCGCGGCCCTTGAGCTCGGTGGCGCGGGACTGAGCGCCGCTGATGAGAAGCTGGAAGGGCGGGGCGCTGGAGGCGGCGGCGGCGGCGGCGGCGAACGCGCTGGATATGACAGCGGATAGAGCGAAGGCAGTCTTCATTCTGTAGGAAGAAGGTATTTGACTAAGGTTGGAAATTGGACGGGCTGTTGTATATCGCAGTTCCTGTGTTGTTGATGCGAATGGTGTTAGGAAAGAAGGTACCTCACTGCCCTTCTATGTATGTACTTCGGGCGCAAGTCCCACCATGGGTTATCTTTCAGACTTATCACCACAAGTCCAGCTCCAGCACAGAAACTTGTAAGGTGGAGTAGTGCTGTATCACTCCATCACGGTTCTCACAATGTCTCAGTTGTCGTTGACAGAAGATACTATCCCACTATCCTATCAGATTCTGCTCATTTGCAACCAGGGTCCTTATAATGTCTCAGTTATTGTGGAGAACTGAGCCTACCAGACTAACTATTGCTTACGCATATTAACTGACAAGGTGCTCAATTGTGCTTTTACCGGAGACATGATTTCAAGTATCATAAGGCCCTACAGAGACATTCGCTGTCATGATAGTATTACCCACCTGATTAAAGATCAGAGACCCATCCGGCAGTTGCACGAGGTCCAATGAGCGTGAAGGGGTAAGCACAGTCTGGAGGCGACGAAGATCGCCCGAGACGACGTGTAGAATCTACGGGACGGTACGATGTGGATCCAACGTGTTTAATACAACAAATACACAACAAGCAAAACAGCAGACTCATGTTGAATGAACCAACTGTAGCCAAGAGCTCCGTCCTTTCCCCTGCCGTCAGTCAACCCCGGAGCATTCCCTCGGCCAGCACATCAACCCGACCCCTTCGAATATCCAGAACCCGCCGAGGAGCTGACTACCACAACAGCTCAGCTACAAACAGCTGTGAGCCGGATGGTGTCGAGGTTGCAAGTATGTCTCGCCCCGCACTGGTCCTGATCAGCACGACGAACTTTGCCAGAGGCAAAAGAAACTCACGCGGTGGTTGTTGGGGCACGGAGCGTGGTAGACGCTTCCCGGGCGCTTCTGCGCCGTGCACTGCTGCGTCACGCTGCTGCAGGTCTTCGACAGTGTCAGTAATAATCCATTCAATGGCAAGGCTGTCTTACCCCTCGAAGAATCTCCTGGATGGAGGCATCTCCATCTACCTCAGCTGGGGCATCTGCGACGTCGTCGACCGGAGCGGCAAGACCAACTCCGGCACATAGAAGGCCGATCAGGGAGAGAGAGATGATGCTTGCTTTCATGGTGGTGGTTCTGCTTTCCTGCAACTTGAGCTAATTATGTTATCGATAGGCTAAATCACTGGCCGCTCTGGGGATGGAATCGTCAAGGATGGCAGACGACGAGCATTCTTTTATACCTGCGAATCTCCCACTCGTCTTCACAGGCATACTCCACGGCTTCATATTCGTCCCCATAACTGTGGGGACGTTGTTCCTGGCGGAGAGAAATCAATCCAACGTAAGCATTTGGCGTTGCTTGGTATGACCATTCAGGAACGCGGGCTCAGAGCTGTACTTCGCTGTTGTCGCACAAAGCTCGTATACTTCTGGGGTTGGAGCCGCCCCCAAACGCGTGGATGCACCTGCGCACAACTCAAATTGACTGGATGATGTAGCCTGTACCTCTTTCCGCCATGTTGATAGGCATACACCCGCAGACTCGGAGGGTACAGGGACGACTGATGGAACATTGTAATGGCACAAGGCGTCCCGTGGCCCCTCGGACGGTCTGCAGCCGCCTGCACGACAGTTGCCATCGGAACAAATGAAGGAAGAGACTGCCAATCACCTGCCTTCTCAAAACCGCGACTTCTAATTCGCGGTCGACGGACAGACGAGCGAGAGGGCCGAGGATCAGATTAGGGCTGCACCGTGGACGACGTGCAGCCAACCACAATGGGCCGTTCTAGTAAAGCCGTGATTGGCTGCACCTACTTGCATCATCGCCTTCAGAGGCCCTATTTAACCAGCTAGATATCCGCAGCAATTTCCTTCTCACTCCTCTTCATCAAGACTTTCTTGAAGTTGAATCATCGAACAATATGCTCTGCAAGTACTGTGACCAGATCTTCCATTCCCCCACCTTGAGCGGCCCGCATCATCCCGATGCTGCCTCCTCGACCGCGGCAGCCAGCAGCGGCTGCTATATCTGCCAGCCTATGCTGCACGATCGATCACAGCATGGCAACTCCCTTGACGGAAGCTGGAGCTATCGCATCTATAACAACCATGGCTACACCCAGGTGATCCTCGACCACCAGAGGGATGACCCGCAGCTTCAAGAGAGCACCCCATTCTGCTACACTCTGATAGCCGTTCCCAGCGCCATCATCCCGTTTAATCCCGCCCCTCGTTTTAGGAACCCTTCTGTTTGGCTGCGAGATGCTAGCACAGCGGTGGAGAGTTGGATGAAGGCCTGCCAGAATGAGCATGCTTGTGCTCAGAACTTCCAACCAAAGTACCACCCGTCGCAGCTCTTGGACGTGTCACGTGGTGGTATCGTCCGCTTGATCACTCCACTCGAGACCGGCATCAACGAGCCATACGCGGCGCTAAGCCTCAAGCTTCCCACATCAGTGGAAGGAGAATGGTATTCTACAGCGGAAGCTTTGCGCACCACTGACGTGCGCATTACTGATCTTCCCGCAGCCATCGGCGAGGTCGTCACTCTTCTGCTTTCGCTCGGGATCAACTACATCTGGATCGAGCAATTGTGCCGTGGACCAGAGGACCAGCCTGACTATATCAACAATGAGCACGAGAAGCTTCGTCTCTACTCCAACGCTGCCCTCACCATTGCGGTGTCTACACCCGAAGATCCCGTGCAGAGTGTCTTCAGCCATTCCCCAGCGACATCGCACGTGCAGCTCCTCCCTTTCCAGGTTACTAATGTGATGGGAGTTATCAGCGAGGGCTGCATGAGCAGCAACATGAATGATGATGATAATAACACTCCAAGCTCGAATCTTACCATCATTCCCTGGGCCTACCTCTCGCAGACCCTGCACCACCAGCACATCTCCTCCGTAACAATCCAGACCCGCCTCGCCACTCCCCGTCTGCTGACAATTTCTCCCTATGCCACAGAAGTCTTTTGGGAATGCGCCTGCCTCAACCCCGCCAGCGAGACTCTCCCCGCTGGCATTCTCTCGTTCCTCCCGTCTTCCCTTTTGACAGGCGTGGAACGCTTCCCCCACCGCGACACGGCTCTCCCCGCTGATGCGGACTGGTCCACCCTGCTGGAATTCTGGTATAGGGTTGTGGACGAACACACTGCAACCCTTGCAGGTGGGGTAGAGAGGATGCACTCGGAGAAGATGTTGGCGGGAGTGGAATGGGTGGCGGATGAGGTGGGGGAGCGGATGAAAGTTATACAAATTTCCGAAAATGAGGGAGAGGCGATTGCAGAACAGGAAGAGGCAGCCGTGTACCTGGCGGGACACTTCTGGGGATCGATACCTTTGTCGCTCGGTTGGAGGGTTGGTGGTTCAGATTTCGGTAATAGTGGTCGGGCAAACAGAAGCGATCGCGTGCCCAGTTGGAGTTGGGCGTCTGTTCAAGGAAGGAGGGTGTTTTCCCCGCTGGGCTTGAGTGTGAGGGATGACCAGCGGTGTCTGGCTGAGAAGGTGGGGTATCGTCGAGACTCACCAGAGGGAGCAATCACCATGCTCAGTTTGAGAACGTTCGTGCTTGACGCGCAGTTGATCGGTGGTGGAGGGCACAGGGTCAAGGTGACGGGGTTGGAGGGTGAGAGGTATTGGGTTGAGGTGGAGTGGGATGGTGAGGATGAAGAAGGACCATCGGCTTTGCGGTTGGCAGTGTTGGTAGAGAATGAGTGGCTCAGACAGTGGAGTGGACTCGTGCTGAGGGAAGTTCCTGGTGATGATGGAAGCTTTCGGAGGGTCGGATACTTTATGCTGAACACGGTGCAGGGGGAGGAAGGTTGCAGGGAGGAGAAGTGGAAGACTGATTTTCGGAGGGCAGCGGGTGGTTGCAAGGAAGTTGCGAATTTGGTTTGATCTCGCTTCTATTCTTTTGCCCTCTTTTTTCCTTTTTTTTTCTTTTTTTTTCGGGGTTTTTTTTATTTGTCTTCTTGTCGTAAACGCAAACATAGGATATGGAGGATTGGTAGATTGAATTCAGTGCCCATTATTGATCTCTTCGCTATTCCTTCTGCTATCGGTTCTTAGACATGAAAGCGAGCAGGAAGCGAAAATCAAGTTATGCAGTGGACACTATGTGCCACACTGGTAGGGAGCACGAATACACGCCAGCTACTAGTGTGGCCGTCATGTATATTAACTGACAGAAGCTTCAAATCATCCACTTCAAGTCTGCGTTGAATTGCGCATGTATATACTACTTCAATATTCAACGCCACACATCTATTTTCTATCCCTGTAAATAATACTTATACTACAGGTAGCTTTAACCAACTCAACTCCAACATCATAATCAACCCACTTCTCGTACTATACTTCCCCCACTCACATCCTCCGGCAACAGCTCCGCATGCCCGTTGGCCACCAAGGAGGCCGGGGCGACGGACAGGGCGCGCAGTCGGAGTTGTTTGTACTTCAGGGCGGATTCTGCTAGGGTACTATCTTTGCGGATGCGGAAGAATGTGTATTCGTAGGCTGGGGGAGGGGTCATGTTTCTGGTTGTGTTGTCGTCGCGATAAGGATCGCTTCTCAAATTGGAACTAGTTATGGATCCGACCGCGGCAACTACCGAGTACCGGCACGCGGTCTGAGAGGTGTGGGGAGGCTTGGATGTATGATTAGTAATCATCAAACACACAATTGGCGAGTCTCACACCTCCCTGGGTCACGTCTAAACCATAACGGTATTATTGCCCCAGCCTACATCTTCCCTAGCGTTAAAAGAGTTCTGACTTAAGAGAGCCCTTGGGTCTTTTGTTGAATCAAGGCGTATCAGTAGACACGAGAGTCTTCACTAGAGTCACCTGACGTGAGGAAAGGCGAGCAAAGATTGAGCAAAGGTAGGTTGGAAGGGGTGGGATTTAGTAAGCGGTGTATGAGTGGATTTGTGAGAATGGATGGATGGGTTGTGGAAATCAAACTCCCGTCCGCCCCATGTTAGTCGTGTTGATCTTCCTGTGGCGTGGTAGGCTGTTATTGCTGCGATCTCATCCCCACAGTTCATCTCGTCCAGCTGAAGGTGAAAACTGGTACCGACTGGACGAGACGGCCTGAAATGGGGAATGGGGGTACTCTACTCCCTAGTGGGGCTTCTCGCCAACACCGCCTCTTCACAATGATTGCCTTGTTGCCTCGAGCAGTGGGGTCATAATCATTGTTTTTCTGGGTGCGGCTGGAATTATGTCATATTAATTGCGCCAAACACAAAATTTGGGAACCTCAGCTGAGTTGATGCGTGATTTTTCTTTTACAAAAAAAAGCAATTAAAAAAGTATGCTCAATCCTGTTACACCGCCTCCGCTGGATTCCACTCGAAGATAAAGAGTGTGTGTTATTTCCGCCCCTCAAGTCCTCGACACAGCTTCCTTCTTTCTTCCTCCGTCATCTCAGACTATCTCTTCCATATATCAACCACAAAATGTACCACCCTAGTCGAATCATGAACCTGGGTAGGGAGGTCCACCACAACCCCGCTCCATCTGGGTCCTTTGAACGCTCTGCCAAAAACATTACAATCGACGGTAATGGCGTGCTCCATGCCGAGCTTGAAGGTGCTTATAATGAATACCATAAGGCGAGTATTGACCTCAATTACTACCTGGGAAACGACGACGGTATGGTACACCAATTCCTAAGCCATAAGCATATTTTGCTTGATCTCAGTTCGGTCTTATCTAATACTTGTGATTCATTCTCTAGGAGAATTTCAATGGGGTGGTACCGATTTCATCAAGACTGCTACAGATCTCGCAATTGTGCATGATAAGGAAGGAGTCATTGTTCTACGTGCTGAGTTGTGTGTTCCACCTGCTGATTTGTGTGGGGACGGAGGTTATGCCACCAATCAAGTCAGGCTGGGCGAGCACATTGGAAATAATAATGGCCAATTTGAGTTCCACAAATAGAGGGAATGAGTGTTTCCAAGTTACTGGGCCGTCTTTCTTCTTTGGCCAGGGGGGAGGCTCAGTGTCAGCGTCGCTAATTCGGCCACGTGATTCCAAAGGCCTTTTCCCACTTGTTTACGTAGCTAGTTCCACCAACCACCAAGAAAGTCAAGAAACACGTTCCAGAGCCTACCCTGAGACCTCAAAATCGCCGATACTAAGCCTCTGCTTTAGGAGACCCAGCCCTACGGTCCCCACCCCCTGTATCTCCACCAGGCGCTTGACCCCTAAAAGGCCCCTTGTGCCACCCTAATCTGTTATTAAGTAGTCAGCGAATAGTTCTCAAGCAGTGAAAGACAAGTAATGTAATTCACGGCCGAGTCGTACAGACGGTCGAGCCGTACACCCTAAACACCGTAGTAAATGCGATATTTGATAATGTGATAATTTAAACCCCCTAAGGTTTGATAAAGGATCGTAGTGAGGTCAAGTATCAAATATGTTATACTAATCATATTGATTAGGTTAAGAAGTATTTTGACGCACCACAATGTATAGATATAAAGATATTCCTCGCTGTCGGCATGTATTTCTGGTAATGCAAGTAAGTAACTGAGTACTCTGTATATGAGTTTATCCATGCTATTCCTAACGCTCTTAGACATTATCCTACTCACATTTAAGTAGAACCATATTATTGCTGGCAAGATATAGTCACCTGAAAAATTGCATTTACTATGGCGGTAAGGGTTCACGGCTCGACCGCGTGTACGACTCGGCCGTGAATTATGTTAATTAAACGATAGAGAGACTTACTAACAGCATTGTTGATCATAGTCTGCGTCTCCCGGCCCCCATTATTGTCCTGCTTGATTTGAAGTTCCTTATGCGACTTCAAGTGTGTATGAAGATTATTAGTCGCGCCGTAGTCTTTCTAGGCAGTTAAGAAGTAGTTAGTAGTCCGTTCACTGATTAGTTGTGGGGAAGGCCTTACAGTGCGCTTAGTGTAATCCTGAACATGATAAAACCTTTCCCTATACGGAGGACCATAGCAAAACTACTGCGCGGCGCATAGGCTAATAGCCCTAAAGAATACGCGCTTACCCTATGGGCAGGAAATGGTCACTCTAACACGTGACCTTGAGTGGTAGAAGGGTAGATGGGTACCTAGTATACGGTCTCGCTTCTGTTTCTAGACGCTTTGTCGCCCCGGGCCGGTTGACGCCGTGCCCCCATGGAGTCGAATCTGCTGACAGATTGATGGGAGCAGTCAGTTCTGCATAGTTCACTGGCTTGTCAAAATGCATCTATCCCACTCGTGGTAAATCAGATCAGTTGTAGCCAGGAGAATTATACTGTGCTCTAAACTCCAGTACTTTGAAGTAAATGGAATGAATTGGTTTATTACGTCGAGGTTCGAAGGATCGCTAACTCTAGCACGGTGTGCAAATAGGCAGGGCCAGCTGCATACATGATCCACCACGCAGAGGCCCAGACCTCCCAGTTCGACGAAACCAGAGGGTATCTAACGAGTAGACCCAAGAACTAAAAGTAGCTGATCGACGTCGTCCCATCTCTATGATGGGCCCACCCGCCCGCCGACCGCTGCACCACATCCTTGGCATGGTCCTGGTTGTACTTGGCATCGAAATCATCCTCCGTTTTCTGCCAGGTGGGATCCAGGGCCTTCAGCCCCTCCTTGATCCGCATCACGAGGTGACGCCCATAATTTTCGTAGTCGGTCTGCGCCAGCACGATCCCCAACCGGCGCTCGAGATCATGTAGCCCTTCCATGACGCCAAAGCCCCACCCCTTCACGTGGTACATGTTTGTATCGTTCTTTGTGAACCCCCACTCCTCACAGATGAAGCGCGGCTCCACGGTGTCCTCCCAGCACTGGTCCCAATACTTGGAGACGTTCTTGGCCCACCGGCCGTCGGCGGCCATCTTGGTGCTGATCCAGGGCGGGCAGCCGACCACCACGTAGTACTCCTCCTGCTCAAACCAGAAACGGATCCCGTTCAGGGGACCCTCGTACGCCCGGTATGCCGTGGCGTTGAGGCAGGCGACCTTGTACCTCCCAGAGTCGTCGACCTCAACGTTTTGTTCCCATTTCTGCGCGTTGTGAGCGGAAGTCGTCGTCGCGGAGCACCACCATCTTTGATTCTTATGGGGGTCGTAGTTGTTTGGGAGGGAGCCGGGTGAAGAAAGAAAGTAAGGATTGAGGGGTATGTGAATATAGACAAGGATCTATGTTGGGGTGGATAAAGTGTTAGCTGTAGTACAAAGGAAAAAGAACACCACGCAAAGCCCCGAGTAACTAGTGCATCCGTTTAGCGGGGAGACGCATGGAATTGAAACTTACAATCTGACTTAAAGCACTCACGCGCGCACACCTTGGTTGCTTAATTGGAAAGCCACCATTGGGCAGACAGTGTCCTTCTTATCCCAGCGACAGTTGCCGACTGGAAAGATTATTTATTAAGAAAACCACCAGGGTATAGACTCGTCTTTTCCCACAATCGGAATATTCAGATCCAATACCTAGTGTAGCCACTCTGAGCCATCCCGATTGTGAAGCAGCCACTCACCGCGGTCGTCTGGCTCCACAGCCCACCGATCGCCAAGTCCACGTCCAAACTCAGCCGCATCTGCAGTGATCCAGCTGAACGGTGGGGATCAAAGGCCAAGAGCCATTGGAGGAAGTAAGTACACTGGGCAGAGTTGGGCAGCCCCTTGTTCAGTTCTTCCTCGGCAAATCAGCGATTATTACGGCTCGATCGGGCCGCAATGGAGGAACGCAGCGGGTTCGAATCGGAGCTGTGGTGGGGCTTTGCGCAGAACTCGCAGAATGAGTCGAGGCTTCATCTCAGCCTGCCAGCGGGGATCCACTAGACACCGGATGGATGCCGATGGTTCAACAATTGAGATTCTTTATACAGGTGGGCAGGCAGCCGTGGCGAAGTTGGATCATCAAGAAGAATGCAAGCGATGCAGCCGTATGTGACGAAAAAGCGGGGTGCGGCTGGTTGTCACGACTGCCTTGGTTGAATAAGGCGATTGTTTGCCACGGCTATTGCTTTTGGAGGTCTCACATTCTTCCCCGTAGTCAAGACTTGCGACGAGGTCTGTTTTCTAAAGTGCCGCAGTAGAGCTGTTGGGGACTATCGTGCGCGATGTTTGACTCAGGAACGCGTTAATTTAGAGAGAATCAACTATGAGGGGATGGGGGGTTGATAAACTTGCCCAAATCCGGGGAAGCCCGCCGTGGCACCGTGGATTTGACGGCTCGGGCGGATCCTTCCGAGGCGGAACATCGAGAGACAGTGAGCTAGCTGACCAATGGGAAGCGGCATTCTCGGCAAAATGACAGCACGTCAATTCAGTACTAGGTTGAGCAATTCATGATCCACGATGAGGAAAAGAGATACGACGAGGAATCTTGCAGTGGAAGGCTCATCGAGCTCCTACAGGTGTTTGCAGAAGGACTTGGTATAGCATGCTTCTGCCCACGCACTTGACATCATTGCCATTTATCTCAAGCAACGCACCGTAATCACCTCCTGGCATTCTTCAAATTGATAGGCGATAAAGATAGTGCGTAGTCGAGGAAATGCCATAGAACATATCGAATGAAATGTAAGGGAAGACCGATGCAGACAATTCCACGCCTCAAACAGTGTGGTAGACACATCTACGATAATGCCGAGTCCCATGCGAAGACTAACCGACGGTTGGCTCGTCTTAGCCTCACCCACAGGTTGCCGTTGGCTACTCGAATCCAGGGCCGCGATGAGGTGCAAGAAGATCACTGGAGATCCATCTAAGCGGTGGTAACAAGCAGTAAAATTAAGACCAACCACTTCAGCAGAAGAATAGAAAGCAAAGCCACATAAGCAGCGGGGAATCCCTATTTGGGGCGCGACAAAAGCAACTGTGGGCCAAGTTTGCTGATAATATTGCCTGCCTCAAGAAGGCCTACCCACAGGCCGACTCAGCCTCAGCGAAGCAAAAAGCTCGGCTAGCGCCTCCGCTACTCGCACGAAGCTATACAGCTTCGATTGCTTGATGACTAGCTGTCGCCCTTCCCTACACCGTAGAAGATCCTTGCATGGCGCGGACCCACGGCCGACAGGTAGAGGACGGGAAACGTATCCTCATCGGGAAAGAGAAAAGGATATGCCTGTCGCGCCTCATCTTCGAGATCCTCCAGCGCTTCCTGCTCCTCTTCGGTGTCCACATTGAGCTGAAATGCGCGATTGCGCATGGCGGAGACCAGGGCAAGCAGCTCGCCGTACAGGATTTTGTTCTCCAGGCCATTCTTGGGCTGATGTCCTAGCATGGTGAGGTGCGGGAAGATTGTATCGCCCTCTGTATCTGGCTCGAGATATGACTCTATCGACCAACGAGATATATCTTGACAGTAGCCAAGATCCCAGAGCTCTAGAAGAAATGGACCCGACAGATTAGTACAGTACGGAACAAGTTAGTCGATGCGGATCTTGATTAGGCATCAGAGACATCGTTTTGGTGCACACGAGATATCTTACTTGATTGGGTGCAGCCTCTGACGACTGAGCATCCCATAAGGAGGGCTGTTATGTATAATATCTCAAACAAGGGTCTATCGATGGAGATGAATTTGGAAAGAAGTTGAAGGGATTGCAGGTGTAAGTAAGTATTTAAGCCTTTCCTCTCCCTGCTTTCATCTTCGCGGGATGACACACCATTCACATCACTAAATCAAACGTTTATTTACTTTGAATAATAATTTCAAGGACTCAATTGTTAATGGGATACACACACACTTTAAGGAATCGTTAATGACACTGCAATTATTGTCCTTGGTTGTGTTTGAGGCTTATGTGCAATAAATATGTAGTATACTAGAGATAGTAACCCAACGGTATATAATATCCATTACACTACAAGCAATAGTGAGTGAACGCTCAATCACATGGAAATGTAAATACATCTGCGTGAGCCGGTAGTGCCTGATAAGTATGTGTGAATGCAAACACAATAACCAGTAGGACCCGCTTTGTTGTCGATAAGCTCTAGTGAGTCCCCCTACCCTTGTCTTTGCTTCTCCTCCCCTCAACCATAACATTAACCTCGTCCTCATCATCCTCGTCCTCATTATCACACGTCTATACCTCTTCTCTGACCACAACCCAACATGTCTCTCCGCGCAGCAAGAACAAACACGGCGGCGGCGGCAGCAGCAGCAGCAGCAGCATCCGGGGCCGGGGGCCGCAAGACCAACCAAGGCAGAGGCGAGGGCCGGGGCGGGGGCAAGCGCAACAAGGCCCCAGGGTCCTGGCAGGACCGCAAGCACCAGGTAAACTTGGGCGTGATGGCTTTCGCTCATTTCAATGCCTTGCCTATAGGGTTGGATTGCTTACACCGCGTTCAGCATTGCACGCGTTGTGGTGCCTTCGGGCACACCCGCGCGGTGTGCATCCATTTCGTCCCCTAGGGGACACCGCGTTCTGTGCGCCCCGCCCGCCAACCCAACAATGCCCGGTCTCGGCGGGACTAGTGGCGGACCGCGGCGCGCTTGGCGCGGGGGCTCGAGACCGGAGAGGCGGAGGAGGAGAAGGAGGAGGAAGAAGAGAAGGAGGTAAAGAAGGAAGAGGGGTAGATATCGCTCTTTGAGCGATTTTATCCCTGTGCATGGGGTTTTTCCCCGCTGAACAAGCGGACTCCGGCAAAGAGCTCGCACCTCAACGCGGTGTGGGAGTCTAGTACCTAGTTTATCTAGTGGCGAAGCTAAGACGAGCTCCGAGGCTATTATTGAACCAAGACTATCTATATCGCGGAGAGATAGTCCCGAGCAGCTACGAAGCGTATAGCATCCTAGTTCACTCTTTTCAAAGATATCCTAAGGCTACATCACATGACTGACAATGAACTATAAGTAACTTTGTTATATGACTCAATGGCAATCACTCCGGCAAGGCAAGGCTATACCTCACAAACACTGCGAGTAATAGTCATTGACATAGGTGCAGGTGTACCCAGTGGCACACGCCGTCGGTCCACTCCAGTTAAGCCCTCCACACTGCCCCCAATGAGCGGCCGTAGTGCCCGTGCTCGCTGCGCCCGTCGTGGTAGTCGTGGTCTTCCCAGTCGCAGTAGCGGTAGTGGTGGTGGTAGTGGTGGTGACCGTAACTCCCATCCCCGCCAACAAACCATTGTACGCGGGCTTCTTAACCAGATTCTCATCCCAGGGCAGCGCCGCTCCATAACCCGAGAACGTGCTGGGCACCCAGCTGTATTTATCTGTCCAATCCCAGATGGTGAAGCCAACACAGCCCGTGGTCTCCACACAGGATTGCACCAGGGCCTGGAAATCGCTCGACTGTTGGGCCAGGGTCGTAGCAGTGGTGGGTAACAGAATGCGCACATCGGCTTCTGTGTAGGCGACCTCGACCCCGAGCGCGGTGAAGGACTGCAGCACCGAGATAAGGGAGCTCTTGCTGGGCACGGTGCCTACACTGAAGTGGGCCTGGAGGCCAACTCCGTCGATTTTGGCACCAGAATTCTTGACGAGCTGGACGATGGCTCGGGCGCTGGCGGCCTTGGCACCGCCGTACTCGAGATTGTAATCATTGTAGAACAGCTTCGCGTCCGGGTCCGCGGCAGCCGCTGCGGCGAAGGCAATGGGGATGTAGGCTTCACCAATAGTGGTGTAGAAGATGTTGGTGCGGTAGGTCCCGTCGTCGTTCAGCGCTGCAAACGTGTCAGGTTGGTGGATGGGCTAGATGCCTTGGCTTGACTGACCTTCATTGACCACGTCCCAGTGGAGACATCTCCCTTTGTAGTGCGACACCACGTTTGTGATGTGGTTCTTCAATGCGGCGGTGAGAGTGGCATTAGTCCAGGTTCCGCTGGTCACTGTCCCCAAAAGCCATTAGTATCCTTGTCACCCTCTCTCCAAAAATCTGACAGCAAGAGAGAGGACACGCACCCCAGCTAGGCAGCTGGTTGTACCAAACCAGAGTATGACAGCGCAGATACTGGCCGTTGCCCTCAGCCAAATTTGCGATCACATCGCCATTGGTGAACGTAAAGGTGTTCTGAGATGGTTCCGTGGCATCCCACTATTATGAAGGGTCAGCAACAGTCACATGGCCTAGACACACGGCATAGATTACCTTCATCGAGTTTCCGGGAGTGATTTGACCGAAGTCCGCGGTGTTGTTTAGCTGAGTAACGTATGGGATATCCGTGAGCTCGGGATTGTCCGTGGCTGTGCCGAAGTATTCAAGTCCTTTGGCAACGGCCGCTTCATCGAGTCCAACGGCAGAGACACTGCAGAGTTGAAGATTGTGATTAGCCAGGATTGCATTCCTCGATGATAGGACTCAGAAGATACGCACATGCTGGGTAATAGAGTCGCGGCAAGCGCCGCGGTAATCGAAAGCAGTCCGACCATTTTCGCGTGATTGTAGCGGTTCTTCGACCAGAAGAAGCTCGTAGTCACGACAGAGCTACTTATATGCCTTGACTCTCTAGCGATTCAGCCAGGCAACGAGCCCATTTAGGTCCCAGCGTCGGAGTTATGCTCCGCAGTTCTTCATAGCCGACGTCCGTTACGGGCCAGGGCAAAACGGGAGAAAGTCTTTGCGATGGAAACGTCGAGGCTAACGCTGCAAGACACGGAGCGGAGGTGAGCTGCCGTGCAAACATCGCGTGGCATGACGTGGATTGGTTTGGGAAAAAACTGCAGCGTAGATTTCCCCTGGGGGTTTAGCCTAATTGCGAGGTGTAAGAGTGAACAAGGCTTTGAAGGAAAGTTGTGATGAAGCTAAATTGCGCCACTCCGTGGCTAAACAGGTCCTCCGCACGTACTCCGCACTTCGCGCATCGGCAACCGGCCCGAGGACCGACGGCATGTGGCACTCCTGCATTAAGCCAGTGGAGAGCTGAAGAGCAAAGGCATGTTTCTTTTGTCGGAAGAGACAACACTTCATAATGGAAGAGACATAGATCAACCGCAACATAACCTACTATGGCATATCCCTGTAGCCACAATACAACTTATACATTGGGATGTTATTGTCGGCGTCCCCGAGTAATCTGGCCACGTGATCCAACGCGGTTACCAGGCTGCTTCACCTGTTGATATCTGAGATCGTTCAACAACAAGCCAACCACCAAGAATCACGAAATCGTTACATATCGTCTATTCCTGAGTACCTCACATCGCTTGCAGTTATGATGCTGGTCAATGATATTTGCCAAAACCAGGTCCACAGAGCACGCCTGAGACTAGCTTCCATAAACGCAGCACGATGCAAAGACGTGGCAGAAGACGGGCAAGAGTGACACATACTCCACCTGAGAAAGGGTTTATATATCACTCATCTCGATCGCGCAGCAGGTCAGCCAAGATCTCGTTCCCAAAGTCCTCCGCCCAAGCAAGGGGCGTTCTCCCGTCGTGATCGGGTAGAGTTGGATCGGCATCCGCCGCGAGCAACACCTTGGCGACGTCCACAAACCCATTCTCCGCCGCCAATGACAACGGAGTCCGACCCTCGGCATCCTGAGAGTTACAGTCCACACCCTCCGTGGCAAGCAAAAGCTCCACAACTTCTTTCCAGCCAGCCTGTGCCGCTTTTGCCAGCGGAGTCTGCCCAAAAGTGTCCTTAACATCAGGACTCGCACCCGCCGCCAAAAGCAGCTGTGCGACTCCCACGTGGCCGTCTTCCGCCGCCATGGCCAGGGCGGTTTTTCCGTCCTCGTCGGTCGCATCGACATCCCCCGGTCCGCCAGCCCGAAGCAGGAGATCCACCACCGCTTCGTGCCCGTTCCGCACGGCCTCAAACAATGGGATGTTGCCCGCCTCGTCCCTCGGATGGGGGTTGACATGGTGGTTGAACAGCAGCGACTCCAGCAAAGCCGCCTCGCCATGTCCCGCCAACCACGTCAGCGGTGTCCGACCTAGATGATCGCGAAGGTCAGGGCGAACGCCAGGGGTAGCCAGCAGCAGCCGGACCACCGCCTCATTCGGAGAACTCCCGGCCGACGCCGCCGCCGCCGCGGCACGATGCAGCGGGGTGGCGCCCCAGGCGTCTCGCGCATTCACGTCGACTCGCTGCGTCGCCAGAAGCACGCGGACCACCTCCTCGTGGCCCGCGGACGCCGCGTACATGAGCGGTGTCACCTTCGAGGTCGGAATCAGTCGCACGTCCGGATCAACGCATTCCAGTTCAAGCAGCATCTGCACGATCGTCGGATGGCCGTACTGGGCCGCCAGCACGAGGGCCCGGTGGGCAACGAACTGCATCTGTGAATCGGACAGCACGGAGTGATAGAGGTCCAGCAATTTCTGCGCGGTCTGCTGACGGCCCCCCTCGACCGCCCAGCATAACGCGGTCCCGCCGCAGTATTGGCCGTCGTACCGGTAGAGATAAGGGCTGACCAGTTGGTAGGCGCGGGCGCAGGTCTGCGCGAAAGCATTGAGGTCGGCGACGGAATCGAGCTGCGCTGCGATGTGTTGCAGGAGCTCGCTTGGTAATTCCATTATCTTCATTCTCTGAGTCTCGTTTCGTTGGGTCTGGGAAGGAAAGAAGGGGAGACAAAGAGCGGATGTGGGGACGATAAGCACGGCAACTAGTGAGGCTGTTGGGTGTTGGGTAGAAACTAGCCAAACTAGGTCAGGTGAGTTGCTCCCGCGTCGGTTCGCGGGCCCGCCTCGATGAGCTGGGCTGTCTTGTAGCTCGGCTTAATGATAGTAGTTCAACTATTGCCTTGTACAGGATGTTGTACATATAGGTAGCCTTCCAAGTTCCATGCATGTACGTATGTGCGTGGCGAGTGGGGGAGGACCATCGAATCATCAGCCACGGCTAAGTGGAAGCTTAAGCTAATTAAGCTAAACAAGCCTTGTTCTGATAATGAGTGGAGCTCCAATGAAAGCAAGCTAATTTCGATCCTGGCAGTTCTGCACACCGAAATTTTCTACTCCGTAGGCACCAGCATATCAACGGAGTTCTGATTGGCTGTCTCGCGAAGTGGTCTGGGGCCGATTGAGCCTCGATCATGAGAGTGGTGTCCCAGTCCGATAAGAAGGAGGACTAAGGAGTCCTTCCAAACGGGCTGTGGAGAACTATTGTGCAGACTCTCATCCAGGCAAGGTATACAAGCATCATGGATAGTAATAAGGGGCTGCGAATAGAAAAAAGCCGCATTTGGCCCCCAAATTCTTCGCGACTCAAGATCCACCGTGACTCGAATCCCAAGATACGACAAGACACGATAGCACCGAGTATGCGTGCAAGCTGCCTCGCATGGCCGGAGTACTGGATATAACTAATGCGCTCAACGCCCCCTACTACAGACAATGCATCTCTCTCAACCAGAGCATTGTTTCCTTTCTAACTGTGTATGTCCTCCCCTCCTTGAGTTCTCAATTTGTGTCGTACTGAGACCCATTTGTATTTGTGTTCATCTCGCAGCACCATCCACGACAATCGCGAACCCGCTAAGCAGCCATGCGCACTCAAATCTGGACGGCCCTGTTGACCGGTGCGTGCGCCGTGCACGGCGCGACGGCGCAAAACGTCACCGTCTACGGCCCGGGAGAGCTGCCCGCAGGTGCCACCGAGACGTTCCTGGCCTGCCTGACCAGCCTGGAGACCAGCTACCGGGTGTACGTCGACGCCGGGGTAACTGTGGTTCTCCCGCCGGGAAGTAACCAAACCATCACGCTGGACGGAGCGGACGGCGGGCTGTACGACTGCCTGACCATCACCGAGGTGATGACGGGGATGCAAGTCGCCGTCGAGGACACGGTCGAAGCCGACACGAGCCAAGAGGAGAACAGCCTCCTCGCGAGCGCGGTGACCTACGCATGGCTGCTCGCGCAGGGCGCCCAAGGCCAAACGCCGATGGGGACCCGGCTGTCTGCCAGCGCCAACAGCACCACCACCACCGACGAGGATCTCGGGCGACGGGACGATCCCCGGGGGCTGGCGAAACGCACCCACTACCACTACTACGGCTACCTGTCCGACTACTCGGCCTGCACGGACTCGGCGCTGGTGACCCGCTACGGCAGCACCTGCTACAACCACAACCAGGCCTACTACGGGGTGCGGTTCGAGAACGCCTTCGCCGAGAAGATCCTCACCATGATCATCTGGCCGCACCACCGCTGCGAGAACGGCAACGTGCGCTCCTTCACCGTCGCGCCCCTGTCGGTCAGTGCCTGCCAGTCGCGCACGACCTACTCCTACTATGGTCATTACGTCACCTGCAAATGCACTTAGCGGGAGAGAAAGATGTCAAGATCTCGTGCCGTGCTGGATAGGGGAAGGGAGTTCGTGGATGTTATTCGAGATTAGATGGACTTGCGGGACTTCGGTGCTGTTTGAGTTCAATATAATAGATCTGGGAGATTTTGTCTTCATTTGGGTCCGTTCTTCTGGCATTGTCGTGCTTGGGCCTTTTTCTAGTTTTCAAGTACGAAGTGGGTTAGAGGGGCATTCATATATTAAGATTCTCCAATTTACCCCAGTAACACCGAACCTGTGGCAGACCATCGGCCTCTCCTGCCGAGACAGGCTGTTGGGAAAGGTGGAAGAGTCGAGCTTGAACAGGCTGGGAAGCATGATAAGGTGGGCTGTGCAGGGTTGGCTACATATGTGCCGGGTATCCTTTTGCCTAGGCCAAGCATATCTTGGGTCTTTTCTTAGCCTGCCGCATCACCCACCGTTGCGAAAGCCCTGTTCTTTCTCACACACACACACACACACACACTCTCTCTCTCTCTCTCTCTCTCTCTCTGTGTGTGTGTGTGTTTTGTTTTCTTCACTCTTCCCTGGGTCCTGGGGGCCTTAGTGGTCAGGCTGCTCGCTCACCGCCCACCTCGGTGGTGGCCTTGGCTGGTTCCGCGGATAGCTAGCCTTACGTTAGGAGCAGAATCCAAGCATCTTCAACCTCTCTCGCAGATGTCATCAACTTGCTTTGTGTTCTCTTTTGCTTTTCTTCTTTCTTTCTTTCTTTCTTTCTTTCTTTCCTTCTCTTTGAGCACAATGAGCACATGTCTTCTTACATATTGCGTCTCAGATAACTGCAGCAAAAGTAGTCATCAGGGTGGTTCCCTTCCCTGGGTACGTGCTGTGAGCCCCTGGATCAAGTGGTAAAGTCCAGCTACAAGATTCCCACTTTCCACATTTCAAGATGGCTGTGCGGTGGATGGTCACCATTCACCAATAGCAAAAATCAAACAAAACAAAGAGAGAAAAAAAAAAAAAGAAAAAAGGTGAAAGTTGGGCTTGATATTGAGATACCAGCTCGCTCACCTATGAAAAAGGTTTATTTAGGACCTCAGCTCCCGCTAGGAGTTACTCTATTTTCCTCACATGGCCTTTTCTCAACTCTACGGAAGACCCTATTTACATGCTCGTAGGCATCTTCTTACATCCCAGAACAACTGATGGCACATCTCTTCTGCTAATCCGCAGTACCGGATGGTTGTATATGTACAACTAGCCAAAATGGCAGATCGGCCTGCTTCCACCTCGGTGGAAGACCCGCCAGAACGATCTCCACCCACCCTGGCCTCCTTCGCCACGGCTACCAGCCATACGCCTCTTCGAAATAGTCCATCGTGCGACACCCCTGCTTCAGCGCCGCATGCACCGCCGCCCGGGTCTGGTCGGCCATGGCAGCCGGGCCGCAGCTCACAACCGCGACTCGCGTGTTCTCCGCCGCGGCGACGGCGCCCGCCTCGGCGAGAATCTGGTCAATGGGCGCCCGGCCGGGGTGGATTGTCCCCGCGGCGGAGTGAACGAGCTTCGCGCCGGTGGCAGTTCCCTTTTCATTCGCGGAGTCGACTACCGTCGGGACACGCTCGTCCTCGACGACGACCCCCTTGCGAGAGCAGTAGAAGGATGCCTGCACGTCGCCGCTGGTAAGGATGTCTGCAAGCTCGCGCTGCAGCAGCTCCGCTACGAAGGCCGGCTGGCGCACGGTCCAGTGGAGCTGAATGCGGACCGTCGATGTGGGCGCCTGACGCCGTCGGCGCGTCAGGTGGTCCTGGAGGTAGGGGATCGCGCAGGCAATCCCCGTGCCACCCATGATCATGATGAGAGTGTGATAGGTGCGTAGCGGGGCGCGGTGGCCGTAGGGACCTTCAAGGAGGAGGGTGGGATGGACGGTGTTGCCGGGCTGTTGCCTGCATTGGTCGCGGAGGCGCTTGGTCCAGCCGTCATAGGGGCGGATCCAGAACGTCAGGATCGAGGTTGGGGGTGACGCTGAGCCGGTCTCGGTCACTTGCACCTGTGGTGTGGATGGCTTGAGACCGTCCTCGACCTGCCCCGGGGTGGCGATGGGGCTGCTAGCAGCGGTGCTGGTAGAGAACGCACCGAGCGTGAAGGGGTGGTTCTCCCACCCTCTCAGCGTCATGGGTTGGTATAGATGATAGTACTGTCCCGGCCCGCCCTGCACCGTGGCATTCAGGATATCCACGCGCATCACATCGCTGGCGGGGCTGTAGTGCACCACCGCCTGGGTGCGGCTGGCATGGCCATACCAGACGCGGACGTTGCACCAAACCAGGCGGACCAGGCGGAGGAAGCGATCGAAGCTCCAGATGGCCACGGGGGGCCAGAGATAGCCACTGTAATACACTGCTCCGATCTGCGCCGTGTGACTGATTGACGGTGGGTTGGGTTAGCAGCTGAGCGCGGCGGCAATGCGGCTTCCGAAGGAGAGAGAGCAGCAGCAACATACATATACAAGCAGTATAGAAGCACGACCGCGAAGGCAATGTGAATGAGGAGGAAGAGCTCGTAGAATCGCTGGCGGATAGGAAGAATCGCGAAAAGAATCATGAGACACATGATGATCGTTGCCTGAGGGAGACGTTAGACCGTTGTGTTCACGACAGCCACCGATTGTCCTCAAGTCATAACATACCACAATTCCCAACACAAAGTATAGATCTTTCAAAGCAGGAATGTAGTCGGAAGCTAGACAGATTTTGTTAGTCGGGATCAACCGAAACCGATCTTTGGTCAACAGTCCAGACGTACAATAGACGTTCCATTGGACGGTATATCCAATGGAGTGAACCACCGCCTCGAGCGTGGCCACCAGAGCAATATGGCGGTGGAAGACCGAGAAGGTCCCGTAGCTCCAGCCGGTTGACCAGAGGAAGATGTTGTTCCGGCCTCCGAACATCCACAGCCAACAGAGACACGCATAGGACAGCACGGCCGTGCGGTCCGATAGATATACCCAATTCTGCTGAGACACGTCGGGGGTCCTAGAAAAGAGTCACGGGTCAGAAGAGGTCTTGCTGCAACCAGGTTCAAAGAGTGTGGTCGGTGCCTGCTTACGTGGGATTCCCCGAGAAGGTACCAAGATTGACGCATGACAGGACAATCGATATAGCCCAGAAGCCAAAAACGATGACTGAGTCCAATCGCTTGGGGATGTTACACCAGTACAGCGCTCGTTGGTGATAGGTGCCGACGGTGGCGGGGATCACCAGGTGCAGTCTCAAATAATATCGGAGGGTGGCGAGGGGACCTCGAGAAAGGGACCAGGGAGATGCCTTGGACAGATTGAACAGACTGCCCAAGACTATGACCCCGCCCCAGTATCCGATCAGCGCCCATCCGTAGACGATATTCGTTGGTGTTGCGTTGATTGTGGCTTCCTGTGTGCATCATCAACCATCAGCATTTGACTGGAACCGAACCGGCTTCATCCTAGGGATAGCAGTGAACTACTCACCAATCGACGCAGATACCGTTTATAGTAGCTCTTCTCCAACAACACGGGACTCGTGACAGTCACGGAGGTGTTGTAAGTGTCAGGGGCCACGGCGGGCAGACTGGCGAGGTATTGGGGGGTGAGCTCGGTGTCGATCGCGGTGAGATTGATCAAGTCCACCTGGTTCTTGCCACAGAGCACCTGCCAGTACGCCACGCCCTTGACAATCTCGTTGGCGGAGCAATATTCCTTCATCGACGCGTAGATCGAAGTAACCTCGATGGTGTCCTCACAGTACGGTTCGTACTTGGTCGTCGTCGACGCACCGCCTCCTCGTCCACCTCTGCGGGCCATGCTCGCCCCATGACTGGCAGATGTAGAGGTACGGTTGGCCTTGGAGCTTGTGTGCGTGTGCGCCGACGAAGTAGCCTCGGTCTCGAACGTCAACGAGGTCAAAGACTTATAGATCGAATAGAAGCAATATTGCGACTTGGAGGTGGGCAAATTGCTGGCCCAGACGACCGAGCATAGGCCAAAGACCACGGCCAAGAACGACCACTTCATCATGAACAAGGACGGCTGGATCTCCTACCACAGACTTGGACACTCAACAAGACGCTGAGATAATTGAGACCGAGGTGCCATATCTATTTAAGCGTGCACAATACACCCTCCCCGGGGCAATTCTCGCCTACGATTCCTTCAAGGTCCTCGACTATTTCCTGTTTCGCTACACAAAGTAAAATAACTCAGCCAAGTGGCGGTCGAAGTGGAGTAAACATGCTATCTCACCATCCTCTGTCTCAGGTTTCTGCTCTCTTCTCCATCCGAACTTGAATGAAGTTTTACAACACCGACGGCTAATGAATTTCCCCCCCCGAAGGACCACCAAGTAGGCAGGTAGGGCGCAATCTGAAGTCCGCATACAATGCCCATGTCCAACGGGGTGTTTAGTACGTGGGCTGAATGCTACCGAAGCTGTTTCTCGGTACCGATGGCTAACAATTGCCATGCTGTATCGGAGACCCGCTGCAGATGAATCCATGTGTCGGGTCAAGATTCCGAATCGAGCAAGGCAGGAACTCGGATCAGATAAAGCAAGCTCGGTGAGCAAGGTTAACCCCGAGGCCTAAAGAGGCTTAGTTGCCGTCAATCCCTAGCCCCGAGCCCCCGAGCAGATCCATCCAACTCGGCAACAATCTCAAAGAATCTTAATCGGCAGAAGCAAAGCAAAGCTTTTCCGGCCCAGACCCACTCCTCGCGAGGGGGTTTTTTTTTTCTTCGCTCGCTTCTTTTCTCTTCTCTTCACCTCGTTTTGAAAAATACGAGTATCAATGTCTCGTTTTTGGCGTCTGGATTACTGGTTCGGGGGATGGGTGGGTGGCTGGAGCCAAAGGCAGACACCACCACGTTGTGGTAGGTAAATCGGGCTTCAGTCGATCTGCATAAGAATCCAACGTTCCTCTCTGCAGGGTGCCTCTTTGCACGACGCACCAACTTTCTGCTTGGATTCTTCCTTCATCGTGTCTTCGAATCTTTTATCATTTCTTCTTTTGATGACACCTTCGCTCATTTCAACTAACGACAAGTCATTGAAGGCAATCAACGCAGCTCACCATGATCGACGTTTTCGCGGTGCAGGTGTTCTTCATCGTCTTCCGCGAATGCCTGGAAGCCGTGATCGTCGTGTCGGTCCTGCTGTCCTTCCTGAAACAATGCCTGGGCCAACCGGGCATGGACCTGGAGATCCATCGGCGACTACGCAAGCAGGTCTGGTGGGGGTCGCTCTGCGGGGTGGTGGTCTGTCTGATCATCGGCGGGATCTTCATCGGCATCTTCTACGGGCTGGGCAGCGACATCTGGTCCAACTCGGAGGACCTGTGGGAGGGGATCTTCTACGTGATCGCGACGGTGATCGTGACGGTGATGGGGCTGGCGCTGCTGCGGATCAACAAGACCAAGCAGAAGTGGCGGGTCAAGATCGCCCAGGCGCTGATCGCCAAGAGCGAGGGCCGCACCCGCTGGCTGCGCGGCGACTGGGCACGTCGATACGCCATGTTCATCCTGCCTTTCATCACCACAATGCGTGAGGGCGTCGAGGCGGTCGTCTTCGTCGGCGGCGTCTCGCTGGGCTACCCTGCTACCGCGTTCCCCCTGCCTGTGGTCACGGGTCTCCTCGCTGGTCTTCTTGCAGGGTGGTGTATCTACCGCGGTGGCAACGTCATGTCTATCCGCATTTTCCTGATTGCCTCCACCTGCGTCCTCTACCTGATCGCCGCCGGGATGTTCTCCAAGGCGGTCTGGAGTCTGCAGTTCAACGCCTTCCAGGTCAAGGTCGGCAGCGATGTGGCGGAGGAAGGCTCCGGGCCCGGCTCCTACAACATCGCGGAAACCGTGTGGCATGTTAACTGCTGCAATCCGGAGATCGACAACGGGTGGGACGTGTTCCAGGCGATCCTGGGCTGGCAGAATACCGGCACCTACGGGTCGGTCATCAGCTATAATCTCTACTGGGTTTTCATCATGGCCTGTGTCTCGTGGCTGATGTACGAGGAACGCAAGGGCCAGAGGACCCTCGTGCACCGGTACTGGAGCTTCCTCGCCCGCATCCCCGGACTGAAGAGCTATGCGGCTGGCAAGCTGTTGGAAATGGGGGACTCGAAGGAGCAGGACTTGGTTCGACAGGTGCAGGCCTCGATGTTCGTGGATGACGTGGTGCAGACTGTGGTGGAGCCAACTAAATGAGAACGACCAGGACGAACTCTGGAGACATGGCGCGGTTGGCAGGAAGCAAGACAGGCGAGGACTCGTCGTGTAGTTTCTGAGTGATAGTGAGAATACAAGTATGATACCAGCATTGAAGTCTGAGCAGTCTGAACTTTCAGAGTGGGGGTGAACTTGAAGACATCCGAGCGATGCTGCTGGTTGCGAGGAAAGCGCTTGTTCACGACTGCGGATGAGTGATAAATTCACCTGGCACTGAGCACCTACGTGGGGCGGGGAGAAGTGGGCGGTGAGCAGCCCAGCCAACGAGGCCCCTAACTACAATACCTATTTCGTAGTAGTATGCAAATGCACATAACCTAGTACCTCGCTTACCTAAATCCATCTTCGTGTTTTCGTGGGACATCACAGACTAGATTGCAAGCCATATCGAGGCAGCTTTGCCCTCTGGCCCACGCGCTTGCCATATCTTGCCAGAGCCTGCTGCAGTGGGCCCGTATCATCCAAGCATTCCAAGTATGTGTATTTGGCGCTAGTTCGAGGGCTAATATTCCCCGAATTCACACCGATCCCATCAGTGCTAAAGCCAATGTACCGTTCGGTGGAAGGGAGTTGAAGTTCAGAACCTTCTCCCTGCCCGCCAAGGCCCCCAAAGAGGAAGCACTTACGAACACGAAGCGATCCATATAGAATCCACCGTCCCAGTTCATATCGAGAATGTATCATCCGACTGCCATAGTTTGTAGGCACTCCAGATTCTCGACAGGGGATATTTCCTTAGACGGTATCTGCGCTAGACCAATTTTCGTAAGACCGCTTCATCGATTTTCACGATCCAAAGTCCGAGCTATCACCATAGTACAGGTTCGAAAGTTGGAGTAACGCACCGATTCCTCGACATACTTATTATCTCAAAGAATATTTGATCACGGCTCAATGGATAGTAATGCCGAGAATAATAATACCATATGTTACAGAATATCTTGCAAGCCCAGGCCATATAAGGCGGGCGATGCGGTGTTTACACCGCGGCACGATTCTATACCGATATTCTCGGCCTGACGGATTGGATCGCTATGGCGCGGTTCTAAGGGAAAAGAAACTGATCGGGCGACGGGGTCTCGACCAAATAGGTGGAGGCAGGCTAAATGTAGACTAGTCGCCGAGCTTGGCGAGCTTGACGAGCTTGGCGAGCTTGGCAGAATATTGCCGAGAGTCGATATCTGATCCGTCGGAATCAGATAATCTCCTCGCCGCCCATACCAATTTACCTAATTCTTCCCCGTTCTTGTCACATGTCATACGGAGGGTTTACCATGGAATCTTGATAGCTCTCTGAGAAAGTCTCCGCCCGTCAATACTTGTACAGTGGACGGGATATATCTTTAAGCGTCAGCGGGAAAGTCTAAGCGAGGATGCAGTCTCTTATCAATCAGTAGTGGAGTGGAGTGGGGAAACATTCCGAATACAGGCTTAGTGGTAAATTTGCAAAATGGGAGAAGTAAATCTGTTACCTCGCCAGGGCACGGGGTAAAGGATATAACCCACGACACCTGGCTGATTCGGTCTTCCCGTTCTCATCGTCTCCTTTCTGAAGCGGGCGCTTTTTCTTCACGTTGGGCCGACAATGTGGCCACTGGCGTTCTTCTTTCTGTCGCTGCTGGCCTTGGGGCAGGCAAAAACCGTCACATATGACTTCAATCTGACCTGGGTCAATGCGAACCCTGATGGCCTGACCGAGCGGAAGGTCATCGGAGTCAACGGGCAATGGCCGCTGCCCGTAATTGAGGTCGACAAGGGAGACCGGCTGGTGGTGAACATGTACAACGGGCTGGAAACACACAATTCCTCTATCCACTTCCATGGCCTCTATCAGAACGGGACTACCTCCATGGACGGTCCCTCCATGTTGAACCAGTGTCCGGTGGTCCCCGGAGCCAGCATCACGTATAATTTCACGGTGGAGCAGAACGGCACCTACTGGTATCACTGCCACACGGACTGGTGCTATCCGGATGGGTACCGCCAGGCTTTGATTGTTCATGACAACACCCCTCCCTTCGGGTACGATGAGGAGTACACCATCACAATGAGCGACTGGTACCACAAGCTGACGGAGGACATCCGTCCGGAATTTCTCTCCTTGTATAACCCCACCGGAGCAGAACCGATTCCGCAGGCGTTTCTGGTCAACGACACGATGAACTCCAAGTTTCCCGTTCAGGCGGGAAAGACGTACATGCTGCGGTTGATCAACATCGGGGCCTTCGTGGCTCAATACTTCTATATCGAGGACCACACCATGCGCATTGTGGAGATCGACGGCATCTATGTCGACGAGACCGAGGCTGAGGTGCTGTACATCGCGGTGGGCCAGCGGTACTCGGTTCTCGTGACGATGATGAACTCGACCGAGAAGAACTACCCGATGGTGACGATAGCCGACTCCGTTCTGCTCGACACCGTGCCATCGGATCTAGTCCTGAATCAGACCAACTGGCTCGAGTACAACACCCAGGCCGAGTACGCCGCGGCGACTCTCAACATCGATGTTTCCTCCGAGCTGGAGGCCTTTGACGATATGACGCTGACCCCGTCCGACCGGGCGGCTTTGCTCCCGGAACCCGATATCCAGGTCAAGCTCACCGTTCTCATGGACAACCTGAACAACGGGAAGGGGTACGCATTTCTCAATGATATCAGCTACACTTCGCCCAAGGTGCCCACCCTATACACCCTGATGTCCGCCGGCAATCTGGCGACCAACGCGACCGTGTACGGCGAGTACACACACCCAGTAGTCCTGGACCACAACGCCGTGGTCGAGATTGTCCTCGAGAACCAAGACACCGGCTCGCATCCGTTCCACCTGCACGGCCACGCGTTCCAGCTGGTGACGCGCTATCCGGCCTACGGGGCGGACTTCTACGACTACTCTGCCGGCACGGCCTTCGCCACATACAACAGCTCCAACACGACCCTCACGGACAGCTTCCCAGCGTACCCGGCCCGCCGGGACACGCTAGTTCTCCCACCTGGCGGCTATTTCGTCATCCGCTTTGTGGCTGATAACCCAGGAATCTGGTTCTTCCACTGCCATATCGATTGGCACCTGGCCCAGGGTCTGGCCATGACGTTTGTGGAAGCCCCCGCCGTGGTCCAGGAGCGACTGACTATTCCCGCCGACCACTGGGAGGTCTGTCGCGCCGCCGGCGTGCCCGACGAGGGCAATGCGGCCGCGAACATGGTCGACTACCTCGATCTGACTGGCCAGAACGCCCAGCCCGCCTGGCTACCTGCCGGGTTCACGGCGCGTGGTATCGTCGCCCTCGTCTTCTCGTGCGTGTCCGCCGTCGTGGGCATGGGCTTCATCACGATGTACGGTCTCTCGGATCTGAAGTTCACGGAGACGGAGCTCGGAATGGGCGAGCGAGCGGTCACGGATGAGGTGGCGATGACCGAGTTTGGGGAGGAGTCTGCCACGGCTTACCGGGATTGATAGAGGGCAGGTGTACGGTACGGTACAGATATGTTATATAGAACTTTTATGCTTTCTGTTGTTGCTCCAGAATTTACATACCGAGGAAGGAACGATTGTGTTTGGTGTATGCTCGTATATTGCTGAATAGGTCTTGAATCCAATCCGGCTTCGTTTCCGGATCTCAGCTGTTTCAGAACAGATGTGAAAAATTAGCATATATATAGATATGGAAGATTCTTGACGCAGGTCACTGAGCAACGAGAATTTGGAAATAATGGGGAAATCACAAGCGCGACAAATTTGATTTGGTTGGATGATCTATAGAGAAATGCTTAGAGCACCTGGAAATTCATGTCCGAGCCAAGCTTGTCGATCTCTGAGCCAGAATAGCAAACAGGGTTGAGTTTGATCAACTTTTCTTGGAGAACTTAGTTACTTTATGATTCAAGTTGCAGATGCATGCTTAGAGTTGGATTATAGCTGATCTTGAATGTAACCTCGAAGAGTAAGGGTAGGTTCCAGAAGCGCGGGTGCGCGGATACTTCAATCTTCGAGTTGTACAGCGCGTAGTGAAACGAGCTAGATGGAAACGACCCTGGGTTCATAAGCGCCAATCAGCACTTTTCAGCTTTCCTTTCTGGAAGGCACCCCCAATCTGAGATTCCGAACGCTCCTTCCATATATTGATCAGTAACAAAGATGCAACTTTATGGCTGCGGTGAGAACAGCAACGGCTCTCTCGGGGAGCCACGGGCTTGTCGGAGACGGGACCAATGAGACCGAGGAGGAATTTGCAGTCAAATGGGAGAGAATGGTGTTAGAAGCGCTCGGGGGTAAAGAATGTGTGGCGGTGTTTGCGATGGAGCAACAAACCTTCATCCTGACCCGGGATCGAGACTAGATCTTGTGAAGTGCAGAGTTCTTATAGTGGTTGACTCACAATATATATCTCCAAATCTATCTTCGTTGCTTTTGTTGGAATATTCCTTTTCTCTACTGATGAGTCCAGGGTTGCTCCCACCGAGACTCATTTTGTTAATGCTCAACAACTTTACAGTACCTTTGCGCTTAACATACCACCGAGCTACCGTCGTTTCGAATTGTAGATGTGATGGGCTTGGTTAAAAACATATGCTCAGAGGAAATAGCAATCTCAAGAGGGACGACCATGCTATGCTCTGCAACTCTCCATCAACCCCGCACCTGGTTCTTGTTCAGAATACCATAGCCCCAAACTAGTCCGCTGCCGCATCAGGAGCCAACTGCATTCAGTGGCTGGCTAAAAATCATCTATCTAAATTGGACCGTGTTTGCCTGGTTTTAATGGGAGATCTTACCTAGTACCATGTCTCACCTCCCTGATCCTATACTGTTGGTTTCCTTGAACGGCAGATTTGACGGTTGGTTCATCAATCTCAAAGAATGTCATCCAGCTCCGAGTTCTTAAAAGGCGGTTCTTTCCCCTCTCAAAGGCATATTGAAGCGCTGCGTAACGCGTGCATACAGCGAGTACCAAAGGTAATCGAAGCCTTCACAATCTGGCGCAATCCTGAATCTCCGCGGTTTTCTCCCCTGGCAGGAAGCTTTATGCATCATGGCGTTTCTGTATGCCCCACGACCTACCCCTATTTAGTTATATACTAATCTGCGATAGTCCTTGTTGTTTTACCTCGGTGTACAGGAATACCACGACTTTCTGGAGCCTAGAGTGGTTCGATATGGCGATCAGAACCATGCCAACCGCATTTATCTTCTCGGATCACCAAGCGATAAGCAAAGTCGACTCGAAGTGTTATTTCGTCTGCTAGACGCTCCCCTAAATAACCCCGATGGCTTTTTTTCCAGATTGTTTAAGGGTCCCACGACTGGAGTGATGAGCATGTTCGCAACCTACTTCAGACAACACAACCACCTACTGCACTCGATTGGCACCCTGTTAATCTCGGCCGCGAGCAGATCCTTGTTGTCCAAGCAGGCACCATTTCCCACAGCGCGGTATTGTCCTTTCTCGTATCGAAGGGCGGATACTCCTGAAAGAACCGTAGCGTTTTCAAGTAGATGTTCGTGATGTAGTGCAGCCTTGCATGTTTTTCCAGGCCGGCGGCCTAGAGTCAGAGGCCCAGGGGCTGCACTGACCCGCTGAAGAGATCTTCGAGTCGCAGGCCTTGCCAGAATCCCACGATTGGCTCTTGCTCCTGTCTCAGGTGCGCGATGATCAAAGTGATCTGGGTTTCGCTGCCATGAGAAAGAGGCGGTCGAGGTGCCTGGCCCGGGATATGATCAACGGTATTAGTGGTCATCTCGAATCCTTTTGATGCCGGTGTATCAGCGTAAATTGAACCTGTCGATGGTGAAGGCCGAATTTTTATGGTGCCACGGTGCCTCATGATCATCCTCCATGATAGTGATACTAGGATATGATTGGTGCCCTCTCCCCGTACTCCGTCTCGGGACGGGACGAATGACGGCCGGGGCTCCGGCTCCTTAGCCTCTAATCGATCAGATTCAGAGGCCTTACTACCTACTACCTTACTGTATACCACAGATCCATGATCCATGCTTTGCCAGTAGATCTTTTTGGGCACTTGAGTTTTACCCCGGCCCTTCTGTGGGTTCCTTTCGGCATCGCCAACCTGAATTTCCGCCGAGACCTGCATACAGTACCCAGTACAGTAGTACATCACTAGGTCAGACCAAAACGAAAATTGCAGGTATGAGAAATGAACGGGTTGGGCGCGCTTTAAACGGGGGTGAAGAGGCGGGGCGAGGAGAGGGGAAAGAAGAGGTAAATAAAGTAGAGCAGCATCGGCTTTATCCGACCAGTAAAAAGGAATGAATCGGGTTCGCAAAAACATACAACAGAGGGGATTCGCTGGTGGTCACCCACCCAACTACTAACCTCCCGGCGTGTGGCTTAAGTACGGCTGAGCGGACGGGAAGCCCTGTTTTCCACACCCTGTGGTCGTATGTACTAGAACTCCTGGGGTAATTGACATCTATCCGCTAATCGACTAGCACTATTCCGTCGTGGACCTTGTTCCATGGTTGTTTTTATCCGCTCATGAAATCGTTTGGTTTTGGTCTTCTAGTTTCTCCACTAGAGCCCCCCCCCCTACTATATTACGGTGCTAGACTCTTGTATCTAGGTGATCGATGTCTATTCATAATTCCCAATTGAATGATTCCATTGAACCGAAAACGCTTTCGGGTGGATCTTATGTACTACCGTGCAGACAGGCAAAATATAAAGTACATGGGCGTCGTACCGAACGAGGATCTGAACCGCCCGGATCAGCCAGCCAGCCAGCCCAGCCCAGTTAGTACGACTCTAGCATGGATGATAGGAGCTACCTAGTAGACGAATAGTCCTGCCAGTGAGGAACTATGTGAGGGTCAAATTTGGAGTGGGTTTCTCCTGTCTACACTTAAAAATGACATAGACTACGAAACGGAACGTTGCAGCGGCATCGAAGCAGGCCTTTTATTTATTGAGACCAATGTGGCAAGGAGTGGCCAGGTCGGACAAAAGTATAACTAAATATGAATAGAGAAGAAACTGATACTCCAGAAAGGAAAGAATGACCAGGTCGGACAGATAGAAACAAAACATGATCGGAGAACACATGGAAAGGCAGATCGCCAAAGAGTGACCAGGTCGGGCAAAGGTGAAAGCTCAACGCAGCAAACAATAAACCAAAACGCCCCAATGCAGATCCCAAACCAGAGAAACAAAAAAAAAAAAAAAAAAAAAACAAAGGAAACCCAGCAGAGTCCAGCTGCATATAATCTGATCTACGATGACAGGTCAGTTACAGTTCACCAATCCAACGAAGACAGTATCACATACCCAAGCCTCAAAAGCCTCAATCCAACAACACCGTCGCCTTGCGGTTCCATCAACATCACTAATTCAAGCTACAGCACATGATTAGCTATGTTTACCTACAGAAGTAATAGCACATACCAATTTTCCGAAAGTATCAATCCAACATAAGTGTCGTTTCGTGGTGAAATCAACGTCTCTCATCTAAGCTGCAGCAAAGGGTTAGCTGTGTTCGCTTGCCAAGATAGTGGCACATACCAGATTTTCGAAAGTATCTATCCAACACAAGCATCACCTCGAGGTGGAATCGATGTCGGTTACCCAAGCTGCCATATGGTTAGCTGTGTTCGCTTGCACAAAAAGTAGCACATGCCGGTTTTTCGAAAGTATCTATCCAACACAAGCGTCCGTGTGACGCGTCTCGGGGGTTCGGGGGATCGTCGCGGGCCGTTCCGTTTGATCTGCTGTTCAGTAAGCAATAAACGACCTGGTTCCGGTACAACCAGGTCCAAAAGAGCGTGTGTGTAAACGGGGAAAGTGGCAAGGAGTGACCAGGTCGGACAAAAAAGCCACCTATAAACAAAAACACAAGACAACAGCAGCCCTAGACTCAAAGGAATGACCAGGTCGGACAGAAGGTACAAAAAATTGAAACCGTGGCAAAGGAGTGACCAGGTCGGACAAGTACACTACGTATAAACACAAAACAAGCCATTGGCAGCGCTACGCTCAAAAAGAATGACCAGGTCGGACACAGCAGAAACAAATCAACGAAAGAGTGACTCGATGTACATGGTGAACAAAGGAAAGACACAAAGACCAAGCAAGGCCAGAGCCCCCAATGCATGAGGGTTAAAGGAGCGGACGGAACCCCGACGAGTTCCCACCATGTCATACTCACGAATGGACGGATCAGTCAGATCCTTATCGGCCCAGACGTTAACGCCTGGAACGAGCCATCGGGAAACGGTAGAGACAGTGTCGGCCTCCGCAAAGGAGACCTGCTTCTTGGGCTTCACCGTGCGGACGTCGCCGTCCACAGGCTTCACCAGAATTGAACGAGGGGACGCGCCTTCGAGAGGACGCACAGAAGAAAAGAAAGACGAAAAAGCAGAAAAACCACGAGTCACAGGCTGCAAAAAGGAAACTGAAGGAGTGGCTGCGTCAGAAGGGTGTACCGGACCCTCCTTCGGCGAAGAAGAAGAAGAAACAGAAGAAAAAGAGGAACGCAGGGGAAGACGGGAGAACGCACGAGAGAACATCTTGATAATCGTAGAGCGTTGAAAACGATACTAGCATCAAGGTTTCAAGTGGTATGGAGAGGAAAAGAAGAGAGGAAGAGAAGAGGAGGGAGAGGAGAGGAGGGAGAGTAGGTAAACAGCGGTTGTTGCTGGGCACGGAGGGAAGGAACCCACCCTGGGTGAGCACTGGTTGAACACTGGGTGAACAGTGGGTGCAGTGAAGGCAAGCGCAGTGGGCACACTGGAGAAGGAACTCCCTCATCTTCCCCCACCTTCCACGGTTACTTGGCCTCTGCCAGCACTGTGCCGGTAAATCTAACGATGCTTGACTATGGGTATAGGTGTTGAGTAGGCTGACCCTATGAGGTGTAGAAGCGCACAACTTCAGTTAGCAACACAGAGACAATCATCCATTAACCTATCAGTCTACCAAACCATATACAAGTATCAGCTCTCAGTCAATCTCCACACACACCTTCCCCAGACTCTTCCCTGAAGCCACATACTCGTAGGCCTCCTTGAGCTGGCTAAGCTTGAATTCCTTCGAATCGAGAACAGGCCGGAAGTCAGGGTGCGCATCGATCCAACGGCACATCTCCTCCATCTGCACCCGACTCCCAACCCAAACCCCCCGCGCAGTATACAGATTCAGCCAGGCCTCGAGCAAGGTGGGCATCTCTTGTCCTTCCGGGCTGCCACCAGCGATCCCGACCACCGCGATTGTCCCGTCCAGCTTGACGCAAGCAGCGCTTTCCCTCAAGGTGGTTGGGCCGGCGATGTCGACGACGAGGTCCACTCCACAACCCCCTGTCAGCTCTTTAGCGACGGCTCCCCATTTTGGAATGTCTTGGTAGTTGATGACATGATCGGCGCCGAGCTCGCGGAGGAATTCGACTTTGTCCGGGGAGCTGGTCGTGGCGATGACTCTGGCACCGACGGATCTCGCGAACTGGAGCGCAAAAAGGCTCACTCCCCCTAGGTCAGTGTTAGCAAGTGGCAGGATCAGGCAATTGAGAGCAGCTCAACCGGTGCCTTGAACCAAAACCCATTGTCCCGCCGTAACCTGCTTCCCAGACAGCCCAAATAGCGCATTCCAAGCCGTCAGCCCAGCACAGCTCAGCGTCGCAGCTTGAACGAAGCTCAGCCCATCCGGCATCGAGACCAGCGCTTGCTCGTCGAAGGCACCAGAAGAACAAAAGACCCCGTCAACCGAGGCACCCGTGCCGAACTGCGCGATTTCAACAGTCACCGAGCCGGTGATGTGCTTTTGATTGAGCATGGTGATCACTCTATCTCCAGGCTGGAACCGAGTAACGCTCTTACCCACGGACAGGACAACGCCAGCGCCATCCGAACCAGGCACAACGCCCGGCTTGACGGTCCAGGGGTAGTTTCCGCGACTGATCATCAGATCACGGGGCTATAATTCTCAGCGAGTCGCGCGTAGACGCACAGTCTCGGGAACATACATTTAGAGAGGCACCTCGGACTATAACTCGGTTAGTCGCTAGAGGCAGGTAAACGGGCTCACTGACGCACTCTGTACCAGAACCTCGTTGTCTCGAAGCGCTGGTACCGGGACATCCCCATATACCAGGGATTCAATCCCATCCTGGCCCATAACGGACCATCGTCGAGCAATCGCTGGAATGTGTGTAGCCATACTCAAGTGGATCTCAGGTGGGGTAGACGATGAAACTGATTGATCCCGTATCAGCGCTGGGCTTTATACCACGGGCATATAGCATATAAGCCATACGACGGCATTAGTAATGATTTGTCAGCTGCGCAACACTAACCAGTCAGTAAAGCTATTACGGTACTACAGAACTCACTCAGCTTAATACATAAAGTACTTACTCCCTTGTGACTTCCTTGTTGGCTCTGGCGCTGGGCCCCAGGTTTCATGAATGACGGGGGCCTGCATATTCAGAATTACACGAAATCGAGTGTAGGCACCCAATTCCCTACCTTCTGCAGCTGCGACCTGTACTCGCTAGATCTAAGTGATATTCAATCGATGCTCTGGCATTGACATTATCCTGTCGATGCGAGTTCGCTCCCATTATGCAGTGAGTGCGGGAGAGGACATCATGCCCCGGAAACGAGGTTCGAGAAGTCAACCTATCATTCAATTCTGCGCATGGAAAAGACGAGGCGGGATGATAAACCCAGGGCCCTGGTGAGCAGTTATCTACTGAGGTGCTATTATCCACTGCGTACCGATTACCCAAGAATCATAATACTTATTACTCCTCTTGATTGCCAATTTCCCGGATTTTCTCTTCGTCAACTTCAAACCTGCGCTTGTGTCTGTTCACCATCCTTTAGTGACTCCAGTGGAAACGCCAGAGCCATCGAAGACGCGTGAGTCAGTCTGCCAAAGACTAACTGGAGAAGAACTCTCCAACCTTGTGCGCCCCACCCCCCGCCCAAAGAAAAAGAGAAAAAAAAAAAAAAAAAA